AATAATAGATATTAAATGATTTCATATAGAAAATTAAATAAATAAAAACCACTCGAGCAAAAATTAATATATTAATCATGTGTTTCAAAAAAAAATTCCATCAAAACTTGTTCTCGTCTTCTTTACTTGTTGAAGCAGTTTCATATATCAGAATATCTTTGCTAGAGTAATAATATTGTATGAATCTATGAAAAATTAATTGTTAGCAATGACTAATTTAATTTCATTTATAATCTTGTTTTTTTGTTTGTTTTACTGCATAAAAACAAAAACCTACTATCTGTTGTTTCGGAATCTACTGAAATATAAATAAATAAGAAGCATTTGACATAGATTATGAAAAGCAACATAAAATAAAGAAAGTTAGAAGTTTTAATAATAAAAGTAACCATATAAATAGATTATTAAACGAAGAAAAGAGAAGCAACACAATGGCTCAGAATCAGTTACCTTTGGTCATACGAGGATTTGTCGAAATATCTAAGGTAATTCCATTTTATATTTATGTTTATTTATATATAAACTTAGTTTCCCTAATAGATGAAACTTAACAGCAATATTTACCTTTGCTAAACATAACTGGAATATGATTAGCACCTAATTGATCAGCACATTTGACACCAATAACCATTGGACTTCCACGACTAAAAGAAGAATTTCCATTCAAATATATGCAGCATGTAGATCCTAATGAGCTATGAATATTCTGAAAAGATTTCAGGCTCTTAACTTGTTGCTACTGAAATATTGAATTTTTAGGGTATTTTCAAAGTCAATCCTGTAGTCCCCTCAAAAATACTATGAATACTCATTTTCGAATTTCGATGTGCAACTTTTCATAGAGATAGACCTTAATGAAAATAATTCATTCTGGAAGTGTCAAATTATTTCGTTGTTTCTATTTAAAAGTACAACTATCATAAAAGGTTGTCTTGTACATTGATCACATTCATCGACAGATTTTACATTCTTATTTTCAGAAAGGAAGCAAGTTAAAAGAGGTGAAACTTTCACAATAAGCTATCCTCTTGAAAATCTGTCTTTGTGAAAAGTTTCAAATCGATATTTTAAAATACGTTATCTTTGTGTTTCTGATGATGATCATGACATTGACTTGCAAGATTACCATAAAAATACAACATCTTAACAGCAATAAGCTGAGGATATGACATGTTTTCAGAGTATTCATGGATTATTAAAGTCTATACGACGTGCATGGTTGTAAAGGTTGATGTTTGACGACAATTTATGTTGAGTATTGAGTATACTATTCGATACTGATTTTGACGCTGATTCTAAACATAGTATTCGTTTCTCTTGGAACTCAAATTCTAATAGTGAACGTCTGAGGATACAAACGCTTTTTTATGGATTTTGTTACTATCAAACCGAAAAATTTGATTTTCTCAATAAAACTTTTCAAAAAAAACATGCGTAATTTTTTTTCTTAACTAATTATGTGATGTTTAAAGTTAAAAACAAATATTTGCATAAATATTGAGGCTACAAAAACTTGATGCTTTTGATATGTTTCAATTTTTATAGACTTTTTGATTACTTTTAAATCTAATTTTTACTACAAAACTCATCGTCTAAATATGCCCAAAATTACATTTCTATAGGCAAGCTGATGAATGTGATTCCATTATGATGAGAAAAAGATTTGCTCGATATTTCGAATTACGAACTGTTTATCAAACTTACCGAGTAGCACATAATTCACCTGGATAATGCATACTTTTAAATAATAATGCAAAAGCACCTTCCTATAATATTCTATCAAGATATCATTATTAAAAATAATAATAATTACCAATTGTGAACAAGTCATTTCAATAAGTTTTTGAAAACTAATATTTTCATTCTTATGTTTATCATAAAGATATTTAACTAATTTAATAACAACTTCAGTGTCTGTTTCAGATTCAAATTTGTAACCTTTATTTGTCTAAAATTTCAACAGATATTTAATTAAAAAAAACATAAAAGAAACTATATTTACAAGATATTGTTTAATATCTTTGTAATTCGTTATAATTCCATTATGCACACAAACAAATTGATTTTGTTCATCTGACCGTTGTGGATGTGAATTAACTGCATTGGGTTCACCGTGTGTTGCCCAACGTGTATGTGCTATACCGACATGTACGGTAAATTCCCCATTCCAATCAATATTCTCTAATGCTACATTCATTGAATAAAGTTATTTTAAAAAAATTATATTTAATATAAAAATTAGAAAAAAAAAACAAGCTTTCTTACATTTAACAGCATGTTCAAGTTCTTCAACTTTTCCTTTTTGTCTTACAACAATACAAGCTCGTTCATCACTATTATTTATATTAATATTATCACCATCAAATGCAATACCTGACGAATCATAGCCACGATATTCCAAACGATGAAGACCATTAATAAGTATATCAGCAATAAATCTTCGATCACGTTTAACCAAATAATTCAAATAACCAAATATTCCTGTTTAGTAATTAAATAATTAAAGAAAAACATATTCAAGGTGACAAAATAAAAACGAAACTACCTACCACACATATTCGTTTAATTGATTAGATTAGATTTCTGATAGAAATAGAAGAATCAAATGCTTAAATCTTAAAATATAAAAAAAGAAATGCAAATATATAGAGTAGTAAATGAACATGAAAAAAAAAATGATGATGAAATGTTCTGCCCTATTAGAGTATTTAACGTGGCATAAATGCATAGGACAACGAACAACAGAAAGGATTTTGTTATTCTCTTCGTCTATACACCGACGCCGATTCTGATCGTAAAGAGAAAAAAAAAAAGAAAAAAAAGAAGAAATAGAAACTGGAGAAAAACATGCATGACAACCTACAAATGCATAAACAGACAAATAAGAATCCACAATAAATAGAATGAATGTAAAAAAATATATATGACATACCAAAAAGAATATGCTTTTGACTCAATCAATCATGCGGAAAGAAAGACGTGTGAGCGTAGTAAGTAATATCACAAAATAAGGAGATCGATGTATTTCATCATGAATACAATTCTAAGCAAAATGGTAAGTGTGTGACCGATTACAACAGACAAATAGCAAACAAAATTATCTAATCTTAGTGTCTATCTTGTTCAAACTTATACATATGTAAGTTGTATGAGGCATACAACAGCAAAAATAGATTAAAATTTTGTCGACTTTTCTTACATAATAAATTGTTGATTAAAATTATAAAAAAAAAAATACAATCAAGTCATAATCGAGAAAGAATATTCTAAAACTTCTAATTATTCATTCTTTCTTTTTCTATTTGAAAGAAAAAGAATGTCGTCTTATTAATAAAAATGATTATATTCAAACATGAATTATCTTATTATTGATGAGTTTTTGCATATAGAAAGACTGAACATGAGTCGTAAGTACAAAAGCAATGTGTAAACTGTCAAATTTTGATCACCCATAATCTGAGATCTTATACATATTGCTTTCCAATCTGTTCGTTAATATGGTTAGACATAGATGACAAACATAAACAATTCTATTACTCGAATGCTAATTTGGTTTCTTTTCCAGCTATTATTCACAGTTCTAGAACGTGTCAAATAACCATAAAAGAATAGTTTGTAGTCTTACCATACGATCGAAAAAAACGCTGACGTTTTCAACAATTCAAGCAATTCTCTATTTTCTTTTAATTACAAAACAATGGAAGTTGTACGTTTCTTTCTACTCTCAGCAATATATCAACGACTAAAGAATGACTTATCGTAATATGTATTAATTATCAATGGTTTAAATCAGATGGACATAAGAAAGCAACAAAAGGTTGAGTGTGTGTAAAAACTACGAACATTGCCAAAGATACAACACAAGATCGAATTCGAACCGAATATTCTACGGACATCCATGGTGAATTTGATTTTTTATTTATACAAGACGTTTTACAATGAAACCAAGATACCGTGGGTGTCCGTAGTTTTTTTTACAGGCAAGCCAATTAGTTGCATGTTTGACAGACACATGGTTCGTTTTCATTTTTGACAAACCATAATTTACGGACATGTAACTAAATTACACGTAACACAGTGCTAGGACGAGGGTGGTAGATGAACTAGAAAGATGTGCCACACGAAATGGATAAGTAGATTATCTCGTCAGTAAACTATAATTAAATGCTTGATATTCAACTTTCTGAGTAATCGAAATCTTACATAAAGATGAATATTATATTCATTATGAATTAGGGGAAATTCCAACAGACAAATACAGCAGAGTCAGATTTTCTCCTCTGCAAGGGTGATTTAAAAGTCCAGGCACCCCAGTACCTATTTTTGGCTAGTACACATATGTAGTAAATGATACAATAGCCACACATTTTCGAAGAGGCACTGCTGTCACGTTGGAAAAATTATATGGATTACAGAAAACTCTTAAAGTAATTAAAAGTTCCTGTCGTGTAATGTTTCATGAATATTTGAAAAAGTCTATTAAACATTTGTATTTATAATCACTTCTAGTGTTCTCTGTCCTTGAATAATTCTTTAGTTATTTTGAAGGAGCTCCCTGACCTAGTCCTCTGTAATACTAAGGAAATTTGCTTTGATAATCTTATTTTTTAATATTACGACTAATAGTCGTAGCGTTCGAATGCCGCTTTAACAAGCAATTGACATCGTCCAATTGTTGCACAAACATTCTTTTTTAATTATAGAAAATCTGAGAAAAACTTTAATTTATAATCAATGTAAAGAATTGTTCTAATTATCGAACATGTTTTCTAAGTATTTCCTGCTCTCTCATAATAAATGTTGGCTAAAATACAAACCAGATAATATTGTTTAATAATTGATAAAAAGAATTAGTGTATATTATTTGATATTTTTTTTTTTATTCTTTAACGGTCTCAAACAAGAATTATAATATATTTTTTTCTTTTCATGTTTTCTTGTTCAGACAGAAAACGATCGATCTTATATTCTGTTTTAAAACTAGTTGTTGGTCATATATCTTAAACAGATGTTTGCACTGGTGGTTCATAGCCATCAGCTCGTTCGACTCGTTGGCCTTTGTCATCAACAGTTACACTACTGTAACTTTCACCGTGCATTTCCATAAGACGAGCAACTGAAAAAAGGAAATAAAAAAGAATTAATTAAAAAAACAAGAATTTTTCTTACCATCAAATTTTGGTTTCTTGATTACTTTCACTTTTCGAATATTAACATTTTGTAATGGATAAATACTACGACAAGCTTTTTCTATTTCAGCACCAATACTATTTGGAACACTAAAAAAAAAAAGAAAATTTTATTTTTGTGTTAATAAAATCAACCAATGACGATATACAGTTTATTAACAACTTCTTTAAGTTCACTGCCAGCAATATCTCTTGTCATAATTTCAACCATTTTCTTTCGAATAGCTTTAATCTAAATAAAAATTATTTCAAAAACCCGAATTCTATATGAATGAAAAAGATGGAATCTGTGCGGTTTAGTGTCCTGCAACAAGGCCAGGCACCAAATACGAAAAAAAAGGTGTTGAGTCGAATCCCGGTTTGAGATCATATTAGGTAATATATGAAATGTCAAAGTATAAAAATATGCTTCATCAAACTACTATGTATATAAAATCATAAGAATAAAAACTGGTGAAATCATGATCAAACAATTCCAGCAGTGTCACATATCCAAGATTTTGGAGATGCCACCACATCTCCTGCGGGAGATGCCGGATCTCGCTCGAGAGATGCGAGTGTGGGTGTGGGGGATGCGTCTCTCTAAAGGAGATCTTACATCTCCAGTGGTGAATGACCTCATCTCCCGAGTGTGGGTGCCGCGTCTCCCGCTGGAGATGCGGCATCTCCTGCGGGAGATGCGGTGGCATCTCCAAAATCTTGGATATGTGACACTACTCACTTTTTCATATAAAGTAACAGTTTGAAAACTGTACTATGACTGCGAAAGTATCTACCGAATGTCGATTAGCTGCAGTTCGATCTCGATTAGGAAAGTCGTACCCGTGCAGGACACTAGTTCGGTTTGTGAACCGAATCCATCTCATCTCTGATACGAAACTAACTTGTGTATGTTGTGCATATGATGTTTTTGTGATTTGTCCACGCATTTTCATTGTGAAACCAATACAAAATACACGTAAAAGATATCCATCAGATGTACGAATATCAGCTTGTGCTTCGATTAATGTCTATTAAACAATATTGTTGTTTTTTTTAAAACTAAAAACATTGTTTTTTTCTTTCTTTGAATTACCTGCCATTTTTTAACAAGCATACGAAGACGATCTGTGGTTATATCCATACCATGAAAATTCGTTAAACAATGACGACCTTGTACATCTTCGCAGATAAGTTTAAATTTTCGATAACTATCTTCATCGTCAAGTTTGTTTAAATCACCAAGTGATGCTTCAAATACACGACCTTTTAAAGCATCCGAAGCGATTTCTAGAAAAAAAAAAGGAAAAAAATGAAAACCTAGTTGTAGAAATTAATCTTGTAATTTCTTACTTGTGCCAGTTGTTCGTGTTACAAGTGTACGACCAATCGTACGTGTATCGAAATTAGCTGGTACTTTGACATCATACCAATCTTTTTTTGAAAATGGATCAGCGCTAAAATAATAATAAAATAAAATAAAAATTTATTAAAGTAAATTAGTTTACGTACACTTTCTTTTTGCCACCCTTCTTGCTACCTTTAGTTAAACGTTTGTTCTTGCCGATGGCCATTTTTTATGATCAATCTACAAAAACTCTTTTCTAGAATGTAAGGTACTTCTACAAATCAGCGACATCGCAGCACTCCACACTCTTTGATGTATTTTTTTAATTAGTGCATAGGATGTTATCGATCTGAAGACGAACTTTTTTGTCATTATCAGTCTTATTTGAAAAAAAAGAAAACATTTCGTAAGGTAATTTTATCCATAAAATATATTATGGATAAGACCATATTGACAGAACTATGACCTCCTTAAAACAAATCGTAGTTGATCATTAATGCAGATGATGTGTTTCCAAATTCTGATTGGTTTACGTCTCATAACCGTACACGCAGCACGGCATATTCTCTCTCATTTTTTTTTATTTTGTATTTAATAATCATAGTCATTTGTTTTTCTTTGTTTTGTCTCAAGAGATAATCAAGTGTTGGTTTTTTTAAGATATAAACATGGGAAATCAATCATTTCTATTTATTATTGTCTTTATTGCTATTCAATTAATCCTACCAGCACATTTCCTTTATTTTCATATACGTGAAACTGAGCGTAAATGTTTTATTGAAGAAATACCAGATCAAACATTAGTTATTGGTAAATATAAAGTTGAATTATTTGATGCCGCATCAAATACATATTTACCATCAACACCTGGTATTGGTATGCATGTCGAAGTCAAAGATCCTGATGAAAAAATAGTTCTATCAAAATTATATACAAGTGAAGGACGTTTTACTTTTACATCACATATACCTGGTGAACATGTTATTTGTTTATATTCCAATTCAACTGCTTGGTTTGGTGGACAACAATTAGTAAGTTGTTTAAAACATTTTTTTTTTATAATTAAAAAGATTTTTCTTTTATTATAGCGTGTTCATCTTGATATTGATATTGGTGAACATGCAGTTGATTATCAACAAATTAGTGCAAAAGAAAAGTTAACTGAACTTCAATTACGTGTTAGACAATTATTAGATCAAGTTGAACAAATGTAGGTTTAAAAACAAAAACAAAGGAATTGATTTCATTAAAGTTTTGTTTTTTTTTGTTTTTATAGAAGCAAAGAACAGAATTATCAACGTTACCGTGAAGAACGTTTTCGTGCTACAAGTGAATCAACAAATCAACGTGTTTTATGGTGGTCAATTGCGCAATTACTTATTCTTGTTATAGCTGGATTTTGGCAAATGCGTCATCTTAAAGGATTTTTTGAAGCTAAAAAATTAGTTTAAACATTTTATTTCATTCCACTTTATATTTGTTTTTCTTTTTCATGTTATTTTCAATTGTCATTCGTCTATTATATTGAGTTTTTTTTGCTTTTCTTTTCTTTTGTCTTGGTCAATCTCAAATAGATTTCAACTTTAACTCTCGTTTATTATTTGTTCTGTTTTAGAGAATTAACTAAAACAATCATTAAAAAAAGGCAGAACATTTTTTGTTTTCTTATCTTCAAAAAGAATTTTGTTTTATTTATATTTATTGTTATTCGATGCTTGCACGAGGTGTTCGAAATGTTATTTATAATTATACCGATGCTCAGCGTAAAGTACGATCGGCAACATCAAATGACGCATGGGGACCATCACCCGCACTTATGCATGAAATAGCTGATTTAACAGATAATGTTGTTGCTTATGCTGAAATTATGCCAAGTAAGTTACTTAGTGAAATATCTGATGATGCTGTTTATTTTAAATTATAAAAGCTATCAGTGAAACATGAGAAGATTTTAATAGGAGGTTTTTTTTGTCTGTTCTGTACGTGACAACATGTTATAAGAAGATTTTCTATTGTGATATCTTATAATGAATGTGCAGATCTCATGCGTACCAAACATTGCAAGTGGAATTTCCATTATTTATTGATAGACAGAAATATCTATCTAATATGGCAGGTCGGAATTTCGGACTGAAGTTTATCTCATTAATCTCTGTACAAACGTCTTATTTCTATGAATGTTTGGTAAACTATCTCTCTCAGATTAAAAGATCCCGAGTCTTCTCATATGAACTTCTGTCTATCAAGGATCGAATATTGTTATTACATTTTTGTTAAATTCACTATTATTATATTTCAAATACAAAGCAAAGGAACTACAGTTGAATTATACTTTTTTATAAACTGAGTTGTTTAATTTTGTTATTATTTATAATGTTCCTTTTTTTTGACCATTGGTTTCTTTTCATGATATTCATTTTATTATTGTATTCGGATTTCAATTAATAATATGTCGATAAAGGTACTAATTCACTTTTACATTTATCTATGATCAAAATTTGAATCTTCATGGTCACACAGGAATGCACGAAATTATTCATCCGTTGATTATATTATTCACTATATGTATATTATTTCTGATACAACTGACGTCTAATATTAATCATTTTCTCCTTCTCGCACTATTTATAGCTCCCTCTCTCTTTTCATTCTAGCAGACAAGAGCGTTTTTTTCCTATGAAGAAACATATTCCATTTATGCATACATAAACTATTATTTTCTCTTCTGTTCTTTCATAATTTTTATTCTCCAACAAACACGATTCAGCAATACTTCAACAAAATAAAAAGGTCACAAAGATTTAAACGAAGGACTTTTTCACAAGGACCAAGTTTTCTATTATCAATTTTAATCGTTCTGCACAGGCGAGTCTTCTAGTATGTGAGAAGGCTTACAATCGAAAGTGCATATTGATTAAAAAGTAGTATTCAGCAGTACACATTTATTTTAAACTACAATTCTAAAGTTTTATTCAGCAAGATGAAGTAGTGTTCAGCAGTGTGAATTTAGATCACGTTATAGTTATAGCGTTCTACTCAGCAAATTGCATTTCAAAAGATAGCATTGTATGTCAACGGACGAAAAGTACTATATGAACTTCATAGTTGAAATATTTCAATTAGAATCATTTGTTGTTCAATCAATGGTTAGATCACAGAACCAACTACTCGGAAAACTAGAAAATCAAGAATGAGATTGTATGAGTATGTACTCGATAATCAAGTCTATCTAGCTGAGCATTACGGTGTATATGCACATTCATAGGAATAAGACTTTTTATGGAGATTAGTGAAATAAACTTGAGATCAATCTGGTCCGAAATTCACATAACGCTGTAGTATACTCTTGTTTTTTGTTTTAATCGACTAATAAGAAAAATAAAAATATGATATCTATTTTAGTTTCTTCTCGAACAAAAATATCAAATTAATTTGACAAAGTACAACTAAGAAATAAAGCATGCCATTTTTAAAAACACTTTGATATTAAATAAAAATTTGGTTGTCAGTTAGACTAAAAGAACATTAACTTATCTAACGCTATTCTAATAAATTGCAATGTTATTCGTTTCTTTTTTAAATTTTTTTTTTTTTTGAATTTTGTAGTTATTTGGAAACGTTTAAATGATCATGGTAAAAATTGGCGTCATGTTTATAAATCACTTGTTTTATTGGATCACTTAATTAAATACGGCAATGAACGTGTTAGTCAACAATGTAAAGAAAATATATTTGCTATTCAAACATTAAAAGATTTTCAATACATTGAAGATCAAAAAGATCAAGGTTATAATGTACGTGAAAAAGCTAAACAACTTGTTGCTTTACTCAAAGATGATGAACGTTTACGTAATGAACGTCGAAAAGCACAAGAAGCTCGTGAACGTTATGTACGTCAAGCTATGGGTATGGATTCAAATGGCTCTGTTACATATGGACGTCCAACAACATCATCAATGCGACGTAATAGTATTGAAGGTAGTGATGCATATGGTGGTACATCATATATATCAAGTCATAATACAAATCCATACTCAACAGCATATCGTTCAACATCATATAATGATAGCCTTCATGCAGTTTCAGGTAAAGATTTTGGCCAACCAACAAGTCAAGAAGAAGAACAACTACAAATGCAAATTGCTTTGGCAGAATCACAACGTGAAGTTAGTTTAGATTGAAATGAATATATGAGTGAATTGCAAATTTTTCGTACGATTAAAATTTTAGCTATATTCGACTAATAACTTTTGTTCTACTCATATCACATTTCAACTTTCTACTTCTCAGACGGTCGCTGAATTATGAGACATATAGTACAAGAGAAAGTCATTTCTTTGGTATCATGTACAAAGAAAAGAAAATCTTTTGACTTTCATAAAACAAAGAACAAGAAATATAAATAGTTCAGTTTGTACGGCATTGAATGCTTTTTCAAAATGTATGATTTGTTTGAATTTTAATTCATCGTTAAATGTCCGCATTGTTTGACAGATGCTTGTATATTTTTGTTTAGAATAATACAAATTCAATTCTATCTATCCTTGTAATAGAGCTGAAGGTATACAAAACATATGAGAAGAGAGAAAACTTTTACCTTAACAGACTACCGGAAAAGAGTTCTCTCTTGTCAGCTTTGTTTCTAGAAAAAAAAATAACAGAACTTACTGAAAATAGGTCATTATACTCGGTTTGTTGACTGATTGTTTGAAAAGTGTCTGCTCTCTAACTCTTCAATGAATCACTCAATTTGGCTCAAACTTTTACAGTCGATGTAAACCAAAAAGTTTCTTGAACAACAAAAAAATTGACACTTTGCTCTTTTACAATTCAGGAGAAATCTAAATCATCCCACCAAATGTAAAGTAACACTTTTCCACAGACATTTCTAGTGGAATTGATTCGTAATTAAATTCTTTCCAAGTGTAAGGTAATTCAGTTGAAGACTGAATGAATCTGAATGTCTTGTGGCTTGTTCCCAATTACTTGTTTCCCATGCAATGTTGAAAAATGACTTGAACCTTCTCAATGAAGAAAGTCAATGTTATAATTGAATTAAGTAGAAACAACTATACGACGTGTATACTTGTAAATATTTGGTGAAGTGTTGGGAAGGTTTTGCCGCTTTAACTAGGCCTAACGTATAATAAAATATATTACTGGGAAATTGTTTTGGCCTACTTTCAATTTTTCATGCTGATCTAACGAAAAAGCTGCAATTCACTCGTATAAAAAAAAAGAAAATGAAATGTTTTGTTTTTTGATAGGCTGAAGATGAAGAACGCCGACGTCGAAATGATGAATTAAAACTTAAAATAGCTTTAGAACGATCAGTTAACGAATCATCATCTGAAGCAAATCATGGACAGGTAAAGAAAAGAAAATTTTTTCAAATGGTTTTATTTTAATCTCTATGTCAGAAAGCTGTCTCTTGAGAAACAATTTATCATCTAAATACTCAAATAGTTTACATATTTTATTCATATAAAATGTCAGCTGTCAAAGTTCATTTATAGTTCTAATGAATCAATAACTGTTTGACGGTATAATTACGATAAGAAATCAATTTCGAAAGTTGAAGACAATATCGTCTGGATTATTCTAAGACGTTTATTTTTAGTTATTTGATCTTAATACCAATTCTCAACGTCTTGATTCATCACTTTTTGATACTCATCAAAGCAATACTTCATATTTACCGCCAACGACAATATCAAATATTGGTTGGAACACAACAAATACTAGACCATCCACTCATCTTGGTGTCACAACTGCTACAAGTAAGAAATAAATATGGTGCTGTTTATTTTTCTGTGATCAGTAAATATCTTTATACATATATTAATTTATTTTTTGGTAATCATTACACGATTTACCATCATATGATTTCCTAGATCCATCTAATAGATATTACACTATTCAAGAACAAAATAAAATTAATAAACACAAATAAGATATCAGCAATTAAAAAAAAAGAACAGCCTATAGAAACTGAAACATACCAAAAGGACCAAGTTTTGGTAGAAGAGCTCATTAGACGGACTCTATGCAGCAGTCTCAATATTTATCCGAATAGTTTTTATTATAATCGTCATATGCATAGGAAAAAAAAATTTCGTATTCTTTTTAATAAATATTAATCGATTTTTTCGGCATGGTAGTAAAATGCTATAAATATGGATTTGTATTCTAAAGTATTGACTATCAACACTTCAACTCAGAAAGAAACGAATATCATATTCAGAGTCAGTGCAAAAATCAACATTGAATAGTATATTCAATATTTAAAACCATTTTGTATTAAATTTTAATCGTTAGGGAAAGCGCAGGTCAAAGTGTTCAAGAGTAACAGTGAATGCGTATAGGATCGAAATTTGATGTAAATTAGTTTTGAGTATTCTATTTGATGCAGATTTCTGCGCTGATTATGAGTATGATATTGGTGTCTGTCGAATTTAAAGTTTTGATGATCAAAATCTTAAACTAGAATCTCATATTTATGACTTTTTGCTATAATACTGAAAAAGATCGATTGCCTCAACAATCAAAGAATATTTTTCAAAAATCATATGTAACTGCTTTCCTATCCACATAAAGAATGAAATCGAAACCAGAATTCGGATAAATATTAAAGCTATCCATACTTGATGTTTTCAATGTATGTCAATTGTTATAGACTTTTTGAATTTTTTTAGTCTAACTTTATGCCAAAACGAAATGCAGCTCAGTTTCGAATTATCGACCCCTTAAAGAAAATCTACATAGAATCAATAAATCAATATTTTTTTTTTCATTTTCTTTCCTTTAGTCTTATCAATTTTATTATAAGTTCATTTATTTTCTCATAGATGATCCTTGGACATTAGAGTCAAACGGTCGTAATTCTGCTACAACAGTATCAAACGATCCATGGCAAGGTTCAAAAACAACAACATCACAAGTTAATCCGTGGGGTGGAAATACTCATACAACTAATAATATTGATACTGATCTTTCTATCAATATGTCAGATCCTTGGGGTCTTGGTACAGTTCATTCTCAACCAACAACAACAACAAGTTCACCTCCAGCAACTACGAAAACGATTGAAAATGAATTAAGTGACTTTTTTGGAGCTAGTGCAAGTGAGAGATTTCTTTTCTCTTTCTTTTCTACTTAACATCATTTTCTTTCATAGCTATATCACCATCATATAATCAACAACCACAAGTATCATCAAATCCTTGGAATACAACATCTTCCCCCATGAATACAGGTACTATTTCTCCAATAAATGCAAATTTATCAACAGGTGGTAATAACGGAAACATACTTTATCCAACACTAACTAGTAGTAATAATTCAAATCCTACTAGTACAAGTCCAGTATCATCTTCAATATCTGCATCTCGTAAAACACCAGAAAGTTTTCTTGGTGATAAATTTATTAATCTAGTTAATCTTGACAACCTTGTTACAGATCCTAGAGGTAAAAATTTAAAAAAAAACCAACAGAAACTTCATTTCTATGAAATATTATTCTTTAGGTACAAACCCATTTGGTTCAAATGTATCACGTACACAGAATCCATTTGTTAATACAACAAAACCACCAACACTTGATCAATTAACATCATCAAATAATACTATTTTTACAAGTGGTTCATCATTACCTCCACCACTGATTCCTTCATCATACAATAACAATGATACAACTGTACCACCATTCAATACGAATAATCCATTTCTTTGAACAACACAAAAACAAATAAAAACACACTGCTTTTATTTTATTAATCTTCCGTTATGAGAAAGATTTGTTTTAGTTGTAATAGATCTTATATCATCTTGCTTTTATTTTTCTTTTGTTTCATAGAATCTCTTTTCTAGTTTTGTACATTACAAAACTGATAGATTTGTAATGTGTCAATTATCTTAAACAACACAAAACTGTCGTCTCGTGACAACATTAAAGATCTTATCATTCATTTTTCTTTTTAATTGTACATTCATTTAATACAGTTTAATATCGTTATATGCGCAGCCTTTTTCTCTTTCATACGAATAAAGTTATATGTATTTTTCTCTTCAAAAATAATAAAAAAAAAAGAACACGCTGTAGATGATCCAATATTCAGTTGTTTTAGATGGCGACTATTGCCATCATGGAAAACAATTCATCAAATCCAAATTCATATCCAATATCAAATCTAAAACCAATAGTATCATTTGGTTTAATAACAGATATTCATTATGCAAATAACGATGATCGATGGAATTATTCAAAAACATTTCTAAGACGTTATAGAAATTCTTTAAATTTAGTCGATCAAGCATGTAATTATTGGTTAAACGGAATACATCCAATAGCATTTATAATTCAACTTGGAGATTTGATTGATGGTAGTTGTCAAACAAATAAAACATCAATAAATGATTTAGAAACCATTCTTAAACAGTTCAGAAATATTTCGCCTATTTATCATATATGGGGAAATCATGAATTATATAATTTTACAAGAAATGAATTACTAAATGGACCATTATGTTCATTTGATACAAAAAATATTTCACCAAGTCACTATGGAACATTCGAAGTTTGTCCTAATTTAAGAATTATTGCCATTGATACTTATGAATTAAGCCTATTGGGTATCGATAAAAATGAAGAAATTTATATTCAATCAATGAATTTATTAAGAAAATATAATCAAAATGAAAAGATCACTGATCCAACTGGATTGGATGGTTATCAACAACGATTTATACAATTAAATGGGGGATTGACACAAAGGCAACTTATTTGGTTAAGAGAACAATTAATTAAAGCTCAACATCTTCATGAAAAAGTTATTGTCGTAGGTAAAAAAATTAAAAAATAATATCATACTACACATCAGAAGAAATATTTTCTCTTGTTTCTCTCTAAAAACAACTTGAAAACGTCAAGAGAAATTTACATGCCTTGTCGGACAAGTATGAGTATGAATTTAATTCAATACAAATACTTTCTCGCATAAATTAAATCGATCTGTTTACATAGTATTTAAATTTCTCGCCTTTATAAACATGACATCTATTCTTTACATTCATATAGAAAAAAACAATGGTAAAATAACTCGATAAATGTTTTTGTTTACAGAAGACAAATAGTTAATTAGGTGATAATATATAATGCGTTATTTCGCCTGAAGGGATGAAATGATATCGAAAATAGGTCTAATCATTTCATGATTCAAATAAGAGATGATCTTTCAGCTCGACTAAAAATAGCTACCATACATACTATTAACAAAGACTTAATTGCTTAAAATACAGTACAAAAAAACAACACATTATTGATTAGCATCTCATGTTCAATGTCATTTCCTCTTAATGTGCATACGATCAATTAACCTATTATTTCTTTTCACTTACGATGAAACCACTCGAATTGATAGCCACTGTATGAGATCATATTAATCCCAGAGTGAAGTATTATTGAGCCTATCAAAAGTTTAAAAGCGTTCATCCGGATGAGTCTTTTATGCTGATTTATGATCTTTGTACCAAATTTTCGACTCACTCAGACAAATACCGGCAATATTTCGATGTAATATTTTGCATATAGAATGTCCTGAACGTTTCAGCCAACAAGAATGTTCCTTTGTTGAAATATTAAATTTTCAAACAAACCCTTTTTTTGTAACTGTAACAAACGAATACATTTTCGGAAAGTTATTATCTCGATAAAAGAACATTCTGCTCGATTGAAACTTTCAAAGTATTGTGCGAGTCATTTGATCGATCAAATAAGCAAAATTTTACGGTGAAATTCTGTTTTTTTTTCTCGGTATATATCTAACACTCATTCGAAAATTCAGTAAAACAATTCAAACTAGACTTAAAAGATGCATGAGGACGAACCTTTCTAAAGTTTTGCTTATGTAAATGAGACATCCTTTGATGTTCCAATATACACTCAACCAATGAGTATTATATTGAGTAGTTTCCTGTTTAATAATTCCTTTTTCATCTATTGTATAGATTATTATAACAACAAGTGTCATATTTGTTTAACGTTAAAATTTTTTCGAGAATATGTCGTCTTATTTTGAAAGTTGTGTTCATGTGCAATTTTTCCTTTTGTTATATCTTTCAATGATGCCAGTCAACTTATTCAACATGTTTTCATTTAATTCAATATCTCTAATATTTTCTAAAGATTAATTTTACTGTTCATTCATTATTTACTTTTAATCTTTTAGGTCATATTCCGATTCATCCAAAAGCATGTGATGAACTTGCTCTACTATGGAATTATGAAGATGTCTTAGATATTCTATGGACATTTGATAATACTGTCCTTGCTTATATTGCTGGTCATTCTCATGAGGGTGCTTATTTTCATGATGAAAAAAATATTCACCATTTAACATTACAGGCATTAGTTGAATGTGAACCAGATACAAATGCTTTTGCAACGGTACACGTTTATAAAGAATATTTAATGATTGATGGTGTTGGGCGTATTGGTACTTATCGAATTGATTTAACAAATTTGAATGAGAAAAGAGAATAATACAAAGGTAACCAATTTACTTTCGAAATATAAGAAAATATATTTTATTTTATTTTATTTTATTTGTTTTCTTTATTAAATAAATAATTGTTTTTTGTTATTTGTTATTTGTTAAAAACTGAAACAACCATCGTATTGATTATAAATAAAAAGAAATCATTTTACAGACAACCGAATGTCTGCATTACACCTGTTTCGTTTTATATGATGTAAAGAAAGTGTTAGTAAAAAATATGCGCATAATTTAATGTACAAAGAAAAACAGATTTTATTAAATATAAATAAATGTTAACATTGTCTTGTCTTTTCTCACATATTAACGACAAATCTTTGAGGATTGTTTACTTGTTGTCATATTACCGTCAATTGCGATGCAAATTTGGATAATAAAGCCGATTAAACCAAGGATATTAGCTAGCAAAGCTGTCCAATAGACAATAGGATGACAGTAGGCCAATGAAGTTGGATGTTTTAATTGAGATTTTATACGTAATGTTAATTTTACCCACCAAATCTAAAATAAAAATGTTTTTATTTAATGTCATAAAATAAAAAATGAACAACACACAGTTCCAATAATCCACCAAATGAATACAATAATACCAAAAATTACTCCAAATATACTTGCAATCAATATTCTAATACCATTTTCTAATGAAAAAGATCGTGCACGCCGAATTACTAACATACATAAATTTATGAAGAAAATCGATAACTTAAAAATTTCTTACAAGCAAGAAATGTTATTCCTATAATTTGATAAATAAAAAGATTAATAAGAATTAAAATACCAAATATAATTAAAAATATTGATATATCAGGTTCTGCAATACATGAATTTCTGTAGATTATTCCAATTATAAGGAATATAATTGGAAAAATAATTAAACAAATTGTAACATATGAAGATGAATTATTAAAAATTTTAATTGAAAATTTTTTTTCTTTCTCAATATTTAGCATTTTTATTAAAAAATTGATTGAAATTTGTTATTGATTCAAGATCATTCAAATCTATATCAATTGAATGATGCAATTGATTTTTTATATGTATACAAAATCGACATATAAGTATAGATAAAATAACAAAAGAAAATTGATGACGCTGTCAATGAAATAATGTATAATCGATTAAAATTTGTGATTGAAGAAATAAAAAGAATAGCAATGAATTATCGTTATGGGTAAGAGGCGCGTCATAGTACTTGAATGTTAAGAACAATACAAAGAAAAACGAAATAAGATGAGAAAAAAAAATGTATGTTTGCATTATTTTCTTTATGTCTTTCTTTTCAAAACATGGCTTCCTCTTGTCTGAAATAACTGATGAATCACTTGAGTCAAAGAAGATTAATAATCGACTGTGGTCAATTAAAGATAGCAACCTAATTGTTGACCAACGGTCAACAGTCAAACATAGGAAAAAAAGCGAAAAAAAGAATAAACTTCATTCATCATCCATCAACTGACTAAACAAATTACACCGTAGAAAAAAGATCATATTTGTATTATTATTGTTGATATCAACAACACATTATTTGCTGATTAGAAAGAGAGAAAGAGCACGTTCTCTCGTCACAGTAGGTAACGTCTACTCACAAATTTTTACCCATATGTCTATCATTTGACCCTAAATGATAGATGAACAGCAAGACAAAATATTGAAAGAGAAAAGAAAAAGTGCTTGTGACTCCATCATCAACTAGACATGAGAACATCAATTAATATGAGTTATATATTAAAAATTCGAAACACATATTATAATATATAAAGTTCAATCAATTCATATTGTCCATGGTTGCTTTTTTTTGCGTTAATGTAACTGATTACATTTAGTTCAAAAACAAAAGTTTTTATGAATATAAAATTTTTTAATTCGAAATTAATACATTTGACAGATTTATGATCGTTTTATAAATTCATGTAAGATAGTTGTAAAAATGTCTTTACTCGTCATGCAGATTTTGTTTCATATAATCGAATATATTTATGTATGTATTATAGTAAGACCTATTAAATACATAACGAAAACCGTCCGTACTTTTTATGTTTGTCTATTCGCTCGAAATGATACGGCGTGTAAGAGCAAAAAAAAAAAATGAATTTGGGTTTAAAAAAAAAAAAAAATCGTATCTATACATCCGGTAATGAATATCTTTCATCGTCATCGTCCACTGAATCTTTTTCTCCTTTTATTTCACTGTTCACTGATGTGTGATACGGACTATACATTGGTATAAAATACGAGAACGGCAAAGATATTTTGAGCCAGTATATATATCTGTTCGTGTATATATATGTATGTGTATATTTTTACAATTGCTCTGATAGTTGAAGATTTTGTATAATTCCTCCACTTTGTGAATCGATCGTATTTCTTGCTCCTTCGCTCTTCTATTTATCTGCATATATCCACACGTTCTGTTGACTGAATTCTTGACCGCCTATCACGTCATACATATATATCCTTCTCGTTAGTCGAGTGATCTTGTGGGAGGAAAAAAACGAATATACACACTTATACATATACACATACATACATTATTATTATTTTTTTTCTTTATTTCAATTCAATATTAACAGCTATCACAGGCTTAAGTATAAAAAAAGCACCGACATATCAAGCATCATGCATAAGAGCAAAGTCGTAAGTTATTTCATTGACTATTCTTTTTTTTTTTATTTATGCACAGATTGACTATTCTCAAACTTCACTTATCCGTAAATAAATGTTGTCCTACACATCGTGATCGAGAAATGGTCAGTTTATTCTAGTAACTACTAGTTGTCTTCGACACTTGCTTATAAAAGGAAGAATAGAAAAAAGTCCTTTCTCGTCTCATCTCCGATTTGCTTGTACGACAAGCAAATATGTAAATAGAATTTGCCGTTGTCATGCACTAACATTCCTTTACATCGTTAAAGATAATAATGAGAATAAAAGTAAATCTTTTCGACGTAATCAGAATCATCTGCACATATAAGAAAAAAAAAGAAAATCGAACAATGATTTTTTTTTTTTTTATTTTGAATATTTGATTCTTTATTTCTTTCTCTCTTTTACTCTTAAGATAGTCTTATATTCGTACATACATTAGTACAATTTGATGAAAGATTTAACATATATAAAGAACATAAAGAGAGTGTTCTTTCAATTTTTTTTCTCCTGTGTCCTTTCGAGGACACGTAGAAGAAAGAGAATAAGAGACGAAGAGAGAGAGAGAGAGGAGGGAGAGAGAGATGGTCAGTCAGTCAGAGTGTTAGCTGTGCATTATTAACGAAAAAAGAAAAGAAGTAAGTGGCTATCAATAAGAGACCTAACGTATTAGAATAGAGAAATTCTCTTGATTTATTTTTTCTTGGTAATTGAATTTTTTTTTCGCATTTTTTTTTGTCTCGTCTGAACAAAAAATGAAATTTTCAAAACCAAATCTATTTCATTTCAAGGTAAATACAAAACGTGAACGTCGTTCGTCAAATAATAAAAATCAGAACAATAATATATCCAAGCAACCACAAACAGAATCATATTCGACAATCGGTGCTTTAGTTACCGGTCTAACAAGTACACAAATCAATATGTCTAATGATACAAATCAATCTGATACACTAATTATAAAACCAACATCTATTGAAATAAATAATCAATCAAATGGAATTCTACATGAAAATATAAATCATTCACCATCAAAATCTCTTAAACTTAAAATAGGTAATGAAACTGAACATGAAAATCTATTAACAACAAACGGATATAATCATACTCAAACAAATTCAAATGATCATATATATGAGACACCATCAAACATCGATAATAATCTTCTATCCTCATTAGAAACACCAACGATTTCATCATCAGATGAACAAGGTAATAAATCTATTCAAAATAGTCATTTAACATCAATAAATTCTCATAAAGAATATCATACAAATCATGACCTTGATAATGGTGTAGTATCTGAAGTGATAAATCCTACAACTAATAATGGTATTGAAATAGAAAAAGTTAATCTTGATGATGCATTAAATTCAACAAATGCCCTAACATCATCATCAATATTATCAGCAGCACGTCTTCTTGAAATCAATCAACCACGTGAATCAAGTCCAACAAGTGGTGTTATTATACCTGAGGAAAAACGCGTTACTGATCGCGTTAAAGTCTTTGAAGCTGTTGCTAATAATGATCAATCAATACATAAAAAACAAACAATAAAAAATGGGCATCAAAAAAAAACTTCATCATCAACAACAAATTTTTCAATAAATGATCTTAAACAAAATAATAAACGTGAACAACAAGTATCTCCATCATCATCATCAACAACAGAAAGTCTGGATATTCAATTAACAAATGATTTAAAATCATCAACGACAACCAAAAATAAATCCAAACGTCCATCATTAAAGAAACAAATACAGAACTTACTTAAAATAGATAAAACATCAGCACAAGATGATTCAACAATTATTGAAGAACAATTATCAATAACAAATCCTAATAAAAAATCGAATACACTTAATTCAACACGTAATAATAAACGAGATAATGGTAAATGTATTAAACATTTTCGAAATAATAATTTTTTTAATTTTTTTTTGTTACTTAGATGTACCAACAGCAACATCAATAACACTAAAACGTTCATCACCATCAACATCTCAACAACATAGTCCAACAAATGTTAATGATACATTTAAAAAACGTTCATCACCACCATTAACAACAACAAAACGTATATCACCAAGAGAATCACCAACAAAAAGTCAACAAAATTCTCCTATACCAAATGTTACAGAATTTAATATGAAACCTATTGCTGTTGAACCTCTTCAAATAAATATTGAATCAAATTTAACTAAAAAAAAAACTCCATCACCAACAAATAAAATTTCAACAAATGGTTTATTAACAAGTGAAATAGAACAACGTCGAAGTTCAACAGGTGTATCAAAATTAATTCATACATTTCAAGGTAACTCATCTCATGAACTTGAACAAACAGTTCTTGTACCACGTTTACGAAGTCCTACTCAATCAATAAATTACTCAGAAAGTGTAAGTTACTTTTTTTCATTTTCTTTCTTTTTTTCTTATCAATCACTTATTCACTAATATATTTTGGTTCAGCTTGAATGAGTTTTGTCGTTCATACGAATGGTTTACTTTGCTTGTTAATATATACATGAAGAAAAAAAATGATTGACGCGATTTAACATATGAATTGACATGCCACAGGCGCGAAAAGTATTATTCTTAAGAGTAAAAGTGCTCATAAGTAGTCTTCAGCTTCTTTTTTTGCTCCCCTTTTGTAAATTGTACACGTTAGTGGGTATGGTATGTTATAAGTGGATGTTAATCTTTTGAGAATATAGATATTCAAAACGTCAATGATCACTACGATCGATCAATCGTTCTTTTCTTTAGTACATGTAATCAAATCTGGATTGTTATGTCATGTTCTTTCTCATTGATAATCGTCTGTGTTAATTAAAACTTGAATGTCTTCTCTTTCTCTGCTTTATATATATATAAGCAAGGCTTCCATCATTGTTGTTTTTTAGTCTTCATGTTCACAGGATTTAATCAATACAATAATTTGCTTCTTCTTTTCTTCTTATTTTATGTTCCCGACTTAAGTCAATAGAAGATTCTTGATTTATACTGAAACTTCAATTTTCTTCTTTCTCTTTTATCCTTCTTTTTTTTAGTACAAATACAAATTGAACATATTTATTGTACAATTCCGCTTTCATTCTTTTTTTGATTCTTTTCTTTTTTTTCATTCTTGATACATACATTTATGTTTGTTCTCACGTACTTTTAATGAGATTTATGATCAACGAAAGATCGAGAACGTGCACATATCGAGTACGATGACGATCTAAGCATGTTGTTGAGCCTATACACGACCGCGCTCCTTACTCTCTCTCTCTCTCTATATATATATTGCGTGCTTCTCTATGAGTAAAGAAGGGCGTTGGTGGTAGTGATAATGATGATGATGATGATGATGGTGGTGATGATGATATTGCGTAAACCTTTCTTCTCTACGATGTGTAATCTGGCGACATAATTTTAAGAGAAAACTATCATGAACATAGCAGTCTATTGATTTTTGAATATTTCAAAAACGAAAAAAAAAAGTCTTGTTCAAATTTGAAATGTTGGATGCTGCATTGCTCTTAGCTATAGACAAGAGAGTCAAAATGAGTAGGCGTGGGCCGACATGGATGTAATGACCAAGAAAATTGGCTTTGACCTACTGCTCATTGACGCGTGGAAAAGGGATGATGATTGGAGGACATACATATTTATTAAGTATTCAACATCAATGTTCTTTTTTTTTTGATTTTACTGAAGATTATTGACAAAAAGGTTTAATGATCGAAAAGTATATGGTAAAAAGAAGACTCATCCGTTACTAATGATAAAAAGATAGAAATATGGAGGACGAGAAAAAGTGGGTCGAAAGATAAATAGATATCAGAACGAAACGAAACGACGTTTCATATTTCTTTAAAAACCTTTTTGAATATATTGAATTAAGAGAATAATATATGAAGATTTCTTCTTTTGAAAAATGGCTGTTATTAAATTATCGTTTTTCAATGATTAGTTACCGAGACATATTAATAATAGTGACCAATACAACATGACATGATAGGACATGCTGATGCATATATAGGCATATATGAAACTGATGAGCTGCTCGTTTCAAGGTCAATTTCAAATTAATGAAATGAACTATTGTATGAAACAATGATACTAATCATTGTAAAGTACGTTCGTCTATGAAAAAATGCCATGCGTAGTATATAATGGTGACATATCCACGATTGTGCGTATGTGTGTGTAAATAAAAGAACGAACATTTTGAGATAAGCGTCTTTCTGTTATGGTTGCTATTTGAAACTCGAGCTCCATAGATGCAAGCATACCGTCATCAATGATGAATCTCGTAAAAGAAATTCAAAAGAACAGTCGGTCATATTGTATTTTTGAACGACCTTGTAAAAAACTGATGCTACCCTTCTTCCATCTGATTCTATCATACCAACCTACAAACACACACACTTGTTCTTTTTTGTACATTATTTTTTTGTGTAATTAACTATCGACATGAGCCTCGAACGAGGTTGCCACCATCCTCAACAGGCAGCAAGAGCACAACAAGAAGAAAACGTGATATTTGCTTACTACTAGCATAACTACCTTCTATTTGCCTAACATACGACTTTGGCAGGTGCACAAAGTCTTTGCTTTATTTAACGAGATGTTTATCTCTCAGACAGACAGACTGTTAGAATAGACACAATTGAGTGTCTTGAAAACCTCTACATACACATAACATAACATAATCTTCGACATAGAGACGACATTTGTCTTTGATTTTTCGCGCATCTGAACAAACAGACAAGATATGTCACAGAGTCATATATCGAAAAAGAGCAAAAGATGTACATAGACGAAAAAAAAAAATGAGAGTATTAGCCTTTGACTGTTGACTGTAAATGTAGCATGAAATATGCAAAACATAGAGAAGAATTTTTGTTTTCAAATAACAAAAGAATTTCGCTGACCTTTTTCTATCTACCTGTATATTGCGGTTTTGCAGATATTTTTTCATCACCAGAAGTCTCTCTTTTTTTCTCTTCTTTCTCTCTCCCTTCTCTCTCTCTCTCTCTTTTTCTCTTATTGACATAGAGGAAGTATGATATAAAACAAGAATACGACTAAAGACTTCACCTTGATGTGGTGTGTTCTATAGAAAATAAACAACAGGGAAAAAACGACAACGAGAACGTTGAAGCTTGTCTACTTTCAATTAATAGACGACTGACATCCACACAACGACAAGTGCAAGAGGTAGGCATGCAAGTAACAACTATTTCTTTAGCTCTCCTCAAATATAGAGTTTGTGCATATTCTTTGTTTATTTACATAGAAAAACTTTTCTTAAAGCTTATTATGTTTTTCATTATTTTATTACCATTGTTATTCTCTTTTTTTCTTCGTCATTTTCTTAATAGCATTCCGTTCTCAAAATTAAACTTGACAATAATTTCTTTTACAAAAATAAAACACATGCATCAAAATGACCGGATTTAATGAGTAAGAGAGACAAAGAGCAAAAAACAAATGGTGGGCGGTTGAATAGATAGTATAAATGTTTTCATAGGGATCATCCGTCAGACAAAAAATGAACAGACAGACAGATCATCTACATACACATATATAATACACTAAATCCAATAGATCTCATTCAATTAGTCTCAAACGAATAAGACAATGAACACTCCATTTTTTGGTTGATAATGAAAAACGGCAAATAGTATTCAGGTAGACTTCCTTTTTCGTTTCTTTCCTTTTTATAATAATTATTTACGTGTCAAACAGATGATATGTTGTTTTTTTTTCTTGTGTTATTAAAAATTGATTATTGAATTGTAGTAATAATCATACAATTATATTGCAAATTCACATATGCATGTCAATATGATTAGTATAAAAGGAAAAAAAAAGAGAGAAGTCATCGTTTGTCTATCAAAAATATATTCATATGTTCCAGCTGAGAATTTTCTGTCAATAAACAGACAATTGTTACAGTGATAGATTTCTTTTCTTCTTCTATGTTATTTCGTTAAGTCTGTCCTTGAGAAATAAGAGTTGATAAAGAAAAGAGAAAAGAATAGAACTAAATGAACGTTGTGGTTTTGTTGCCATCTATTTTGATTGTAATAGAATAAAAAGAAACATTTTTTTAAAATATGTTACAATCATGGATTGTTGAAATCAAACCGCAAAATAACAATCTTCTCGTTTTCCCTTTTTTTTTCTTTTCTTTTATTCTTGGACACGAACAAAAAATAATAAAAATAAGATCGTCAACATCTGAGATAAACAATATTATAATGCACTAACAAAAAAAACGATGTTGATATTTTTTTCATAATTATCCGTTTTCTGTAGTTCGATTATTAACATTTGAAAAAGAAGAATATAAAACTAGCCATGAAATAAAACAATAATAATCAGACAGACTTTATAAAAAGTCTTTTCTCACTGTAAATACATTAGTTGTTTTGATTAAAACAAAAAATGCCATATCATATCTCAAAACACGTAGGAGATTAATTTTTTAACCTTGTTATTCCGATTTTAGTTTTCTTTTTTTCTGGAAGTATAAGAAGAAGAAAAAACTAGGTTTCAACTTTCAATCTTTTCTTTTTTACTACATATCGTCTATATATACAATTATTTGCATGCGAGCTTAGCGGAAGCAACGCCTAATGATAATCCTTTCGTCTTCTTTTTTCTCGTCTCCATCACTTCGAAGCATGTTCTACGTATTTGACTTCGCTTTCTTAATGCTTTTTTTTTCCTTCATCTCTGTTTCTATCTTTCTCCCTCTTTCTCTCGTACGATAAATTTTTTTTCCTCTAGTATGCCGGAAAAGGAGCTTGTTGTTCACATATATATAGAGTACGATGAGAAAAAAACGCAACAACGATTGCTCATCTGGTGTTAGTAACGAGTGTGTGTGTGTCTAACATTTCGTGTTATTAGGTACTTATAGGCTCCTGATTTGAGTAATAATTGTTTACTACTGTCATCATCGTTTCCACATGTGTATGTATGTTTGCGAAAGAGCAAAATAAAATAAAGGTCTTTAGCCATTATATGCATAGAAAATCACCTGTGCTTGAGGGTTTACTTGATAGATGTAGGATGTCAAACAATTAGACATCTAGAAACAGACATCGATTAATCGATAGATCGAGAAAAATAAATCAGAGACAACCATTCTGATAATAATTATAGTGATAAGGAAAACTAATGGTAGACGATGTCAATCTGATATGACGTGATGAATAAACAAGGCAACATTTAACTCTAGAAACCTTCTATTTATTTCTGCGGTTGTTGTTGTTGTTGTTGTTGTTGTGATTAGAATAGTTAAGATCGATATTGAATTAAGGATCAAAGATGATATTATATGTACTCAGGTGTCAATTTCTCTATTTTATTTTATATTTTGTCTTTTTTGTGGTTTATGTGTGCTCATTCTGTTATATTTGTCATTGCTTGTTAGTTTATTCCTGCGGCTGGTGCCATATATACATTAGTATTCACCAGTCACTTTTGTCATCTTCTCATTTTACTTCTTTTTTTCCTTCGTATACAACACTTGTATTATTTATAAATGCTTATGAAAGGACCATCCGATCGATTATGAAGATATTTATATCTTTACTGTTCTTACTTTTCATCCATACATACACATATATATATATATGTATGAAAAGAAATATCAATTATAAGTTTATTATGGTTTTGAACATACATGATTATTGCTATTGCTGTTGTTCACATGTGTAGTATAACGACGTCGACGTAACTTTTGAGGCGTCGCGTCTCGTCGTTGTCATAACACTTTTTTTTAAAAATTTTAATCACTCAATCAATATATACATGAATATATATATGTATGTTTTTTTCATTATTCTTTCAGCCTACATCATCATCTGGCGTGTCTCAAACTGATCCATCAACAAATCTTGTTCTTGGTAGTTCATCAATAAATAATTCAATTTCTCCTTCTCTTAATCATAATACAACTGTTCCTTCAACATCATCTATTTCTGTAACAACACATAGTCCAATGTCATCCGGTGTTGGTGATATAGTAAAAACAACGACACGTTCAGTTTCAATGGAATCGGGCACACGTAATCGTTCAAATCTTCGGGACCCATCACCATTATCATCAGGAATGCAACGACAAGGTCAAAATGAATTTGGAAATTGTTCACCATATGCATTATTTAATCAATCAACAAACGCGATGGTTACTGATAATTTACGTGTTCAACATCAACGTGAAAAACAAGAATTATCAGAATTAAATGATCGATTTCGAGGTAAAAGAAATAAAAATCAATTGAATATTAAATCATTTTGTTTTTTCGTTTTGAAGGATATCTTGATCGTGTTAAAACTCTTGAAAATAAAAATGCTAAATTAACCGGTCAACTTGAAGATATAACAAAAACATGGGGTGCAGCATCTCAAGCGATCATAGCACAATATTCGACACCACTTGATCGTCTACGCCAAGAAGTTAATGAAAGTATGATTGATGAAGCTGATTTACAAACACGTTTACGTCGTTCACATTATACAATTGATAATTATCGTTCATTAATCAATGATGAAACAACATGGAATGATCGACAAGAAGAGAAACGTGAACAATTAAAACTCGAATACGAACATTCATGTGCTGAATTAGCTGCTTTACAACAATCTTATAAACAAGTTGAAGATCAACTAAAAAATTTACTTAATCAACGTGAAGAATATCTTAATGAAATTGATCAACTTAATGATCAATCCTATAAAGCCACAATTGATCGAATTAAACTAGATTTACAAGTACAAACACTTCGAGAAGAAATTCCTTTTCTTAATGATGTTCATGCACATTTAATTAAGTATAAAAAAAAAAAAGATATTCTATTTAAATTTTAATAATTCTATATATATATATTAATTTAGTGAATTCGAACAATTAAAACCAACCAATGGTATTGATACACAATTATTCTATCGACAAGAATTAGAAAAAGCTATACGTGATATACGTCGTGATTTTGAAGCTTTACATTCAGCACAACGTAAAGAAATGGAAGAATACTATAATATTAAGATAGAAGAAATACAAAATGATGCAAAAAAACTTTTACCCTTACAATCACGACAAGATGAACTAATTAAAATAACTGAACAAATTAAAGCAGCTAAATTTGATTTAAATGATTCACAAAAATTATTAATTAATGAAAAAGAAAAATACAAAGAATTACAAGAACGTTTAGCTAAATTAGAAGAAGAATACAATTATGTACGTGATCAACGTACAGATGCAAATGATTCAATTAATAAAGATTTGGTACTTGCACAAGAACGTATACAACAATTAACTAGTGAAATCGATACAATTTTACGAAGGTAAAAAAAAAAGAACAAAAGAACTGTTATTCATTTCATATTTGATTGTTAATTTTTTTTTAGCAATATAACACTTGAATCGGAAATCAATGTTTATAGACGATTATTAGATAATGAAACAAATCGACTTGCGCCACGTCCAGTCGAACAAATTTTACCACCTGAACCCGCACCACCATCATTTGGCAGTGAATTAGGAAAAGTTTTTAATAAAAAAATTAAAAAAGGTCCTATTGCTATCAGTACGTATTGAATTTTATTTTGTATTATTTACAAAGAGAATGAAACGATATTGTTGTGCTATTCATTTATCATTGCTTTTACACTTTTTTTTTCTTTTACTCTTGTTAAGAAATCTGATTTGAATGTTTCCAGAAAAAAGTCTTTCATGAATACTATCATTATGTATAGGCAGAGTATGCATCAATTCTAGTTAGTTGTGCTTGGTTTATTGTAGTGGCAGATTGACAAAGAGGGAGATCGTGGTTCTCTCTTTGGAAATTTTTTCAATTTGTCTTAGCAGAAAACGATCAACGATGACTCGATACGATTTCTAATGGACTTCAAAACACATTTTATGGTCATGATGACCTCGTTCTCCTTTGCCCAAAACCCTAGATCTTGCAACGGTGTTTCGCCTAGTCTGGATTTTGTTATTGTTTTTTACATTTTTGGTATGCAAACAGCTGGTAGCCACATTCTTCAAATAGTCGCATACTTGAGAATCTTATTTGAATCCTTAATATCAAGAATATAAATATATGCAGGCTATACATTAAAAATGCTTTGATTTGTTATTTTAGTAGAACTTTTATTAAAGTCTTTTTTCTCATTCTATTGAATTAGCTAAAATATTTTCAGATTTCATCATTCTTTTCTAACATTGAGCTTTCTTCTATTTTGTTTAAACTTAGCTTTTTTTGCTGACGTTCTGACATTTATTGAATAATTTAATAATACATAGACGCAGGTTGACACTGAACACATTAGAATCGAATTAAAATTTAGATAAGCGTATTATTTGAGTTTATATTAACTTTTTCAAATATATTGTATTGAAACAGTCTTTGAAGACAAAGTTTATTTTTATTATTCATTATCTTGATGAAAACCATCTTGCCCTATGAAGTTGTTGACATAACATTCAAGAAATTCCGAAGGGTTTCATTTAATTGTTGTGATATTCTCAGATATATCAAACAAGGTAAAATCCTTGCAAAATATACAAATATTTTCAAATAGAGAAGATAAACAGTTGTTGCTGTAATAAATCTAAATCAAAGTTATTGAAATGAATAAATTAAATATTTTTTCTTTTAATTTTATTGCAGAAGATTGTACACCTGATGGTAAATGTATAACACTTGAAAATAGTTCCACTGATAAAGATGTTGATGTATCAAATTGGACATTAAAAAGACGTGTAGAAGGTTCATCAGAAATTTCTTACATAATACCTTATGGTTTAATAATGAAACATGGTACTGAATTGAAAATCTTTGCTCGAAGTGCTCAAAATGCTCATCATCGACCACCATCAGAAGTTGTTAATGATAAACTTGATTCATGGGGTATGGGCACAGAATGTGAAACACGTCTATTTAATGAACAAGGTGAAGAACGAGCTTCACATTCACAAAAAATTGTCTTTGGGTCAGAATCATCACGTAACTTACCATAGTAAGTTGTTATCTAAAATTAATCATATAATTCTATTCATCGATAAACATCCGTTCTCTAAATGCTTTTTAAATGATCGTCAAAAGTAATTTTTGTCTTTAGTAATACCGATTGGCCTGAGTGTAAGTGACATACTATAAGAGCAAAATATTCTTTTTTTTTTGTTCAATTAAAGTGGGGGGGCAGCATTTGCTTTTAATGCCTATTTTTTTTTCTTTCATCGGCATGTATGCCTCAATTCTTTGCATGATGAGAAAAAAAATGATTAAAATGACAAATTAATTGATTTTTTTTATTATTATTATTTTATAGGAATAATATAAGAAGAGAAAATAATGAAGAAAGACGATTGATGATTAAACTACAATATTGATTTGGAACTTTGAACATTTATCCTTTCTCTATTTATTTAACTATATGTGTAGAGAAGATTGAATTTTGATTTTTCTTTTTGTCTTTGTAAATAAGGATGAAGATTTTTTTCTTTTCTTTTTGTCTAATACAATCATAATCATAAAAAACGAATATTTAAAAAAAAATACATATACAATCCATTGTTCTATCGCTTTTTCTCTCTTTCAATATGCTACTTCTCACCTTCCCTGCTTTTTTTTTGTTTGTCTTTATCTCTCTAGTAGTTTGATAAAATGATTTATAATCTTATTTGATCTTTTTTCAATGTAACAGAATAGTTTCAATCTCTCTTTATTTCTCTTCTTCAATCTAAAGCAACAATGTCTCTTTTTTTTTCTTTGTTGTTTAACTTTGGCTGCTTGCTTTTTTTTCCTATTTGTTGCGACCCTTTTCTTCTTCATTCTGTTGTCTGTTATTAGTGCGGGATGCTGCTAACTGACTGATTAATCCTTCGTTTTTTCTCTTGCTCTCAGTTTTATTATAAACTTTGCCTAAATGTGCGTTGTCTCCTTTTTTTTTTTCTTTTACCAAATAAAATTGATAAAATTCAATAAATTAATGTCATGGAAGTTTTGCTTTCATAATTGTTCATTATGTTACAGATAAATTTTTATCGTAAGAAAATCTTATGCATGTCAAATATTCAGAAAAAAGATAAATAAGATGACCTTGTTCGATGATATAAGAAAAGAAAGCTATGATCCTCTCAATTTTGTACTGGGGAAATTATTTTATATTCGTTATTTTTTGGAATAATATAGAATAACAATATTAATCATTGATTGCATAATGAATTTGATCTATTGTATAATGGTATCAGCTGTGAAAAACAGTTCGTGAAAATAATAAGAATTGATATTTTATTTCGAAAAAGAAAACATGACAGAATAATCTATACAATTGTTCGTGTTTATTGTAAAATTTTAATTGAATTTTAATTCTATAATACTTATCGACATGGTTTACTGTCTGTTGGCTACATAAAATATATCAATTTATTGTCAGAACAAAAAAAAAATCAGTAGCTGTTTAACTTTTTAATGCGTGTTGAAGTTCGACAGCTTTCAAGGCCTCGATAATGTCAATATGACCTTCATCATAATATTGTCACTCTTTTACTAACCGTTCATCTGTTATGAATTCATTTTTCTGACATTATGAAGTTAAAGCCTTCATGTCATCTAGTATTCTTGTGAATCGATGTTAACGATTGTTTCTTTTGCATTAAATAGATTGTAATGTAGATGTTTGAATGTGAAGGATTTACATGCTTTTTTATTCGAGAATGTCGACCTTCTCAATAATGAATTGCTCACTTATTGATGAATCTTTATTCTGCTCGGAAAATTTATTGAGATTTTATTTTGATAATGCATCGATGGTTGCAATGACTACTCATTTTTCAATTTATCTTCATTCAAATAAGAAACGGAAAGTAAATCTTCAGATAAGAAGACGATTAAATACAATATTTGTCACATAATCAACGGATTGTAAATCATATACTCCCATTCAGATTTATGTTTTTTTTGATTATCAATTGCTTCAAGTGTCTTTTTATGAGATATAATACATTGAACATCTCTAACAAGAGAAGTTCTCCAACTGATAAGTCATTCTTGAATCAAGACTATATATGTCATGTAGATGCTGATGAGCTACGAATATATTGAAAAGAGTTCCTACTTTTGGTTTATTGAGTCGGATATATTACATTTTTAAGGTATTTTTTTAAAACTCACTGCCGTGCTAAGTCTCGGAGACACAGAAAATTGATTTTCGAATTTTGACTTAAAACTCTACGTAGGGACAGACCTTAAGTTTACCCATCAATAATCAGTTTTCATAAAATATACAATAATTGAAATAAGTACACTGGAAGATTGCTCGAAGTTTGATCTATCATTAATGATATGGCGTTTTATTTGATACCACGTTATTTTTTCAAAACTGTCACTCATTTTTTGTTCAACAAATATAGTTTTTTCAGACAAAAGCAGAATATGCGTTTCTTTTTTTAGGTTTTTTTTTAATCGCACATCCTAGGATTCTCTAATAAGCTTCATTGCAGTCAATAGTTTTATTTCCTTTGATGGAACATGTTAAGATGCAGGGCATAATAAACTTTTTCAATTAAGCTTTGTTACTATTATATGAAAGAGTAATTTTATAATTAGGACGCTATTTTGTTTGAGGCTTTTCTCTGTTTCAAAAGTAAAAACTGAAAAAAAGACTCTATCATGCCTTGCATTCTGACATGCTTTTTCGTTTTCATAATTTTAATAATTGGTTTCTGTTAGTCATACAAGAGGAAATGCAAGAAAGAAAGGAAAAAATCAAAGAATTCAACAAAGCAACAGTTTATCAATCGTCGACCAGAAAATATCTCTTACATTCATTGTAAACATGTGTACTCTGCACACTAATTAAAATACTTCCATTGATCTTTGTAAAAGAAATATATATATGTTCGGAAATATTGAATTATTGACATTACTAGTGATAGTACTTGAGACTTCAAAGAATTCTTCCGTGTGAATATTAAATTATATATTTATATATATATATATACGAAAATATAGAATATCAATCTACATGAATTCTTTTGTTTCTTAAACATTAGAAAATTTTATGTTAACAAAATAAAAGTAATAATGATCTTGAATTTCCTTCAAGAGACCGATACATTAAACATTCATGTTAATGATCTGCGAGAAGATGGAACTGTTAATATTCGTTGACATAGTAATAAATTCATAGTATAAAAATAGTCAAACGTTCTGAACATAAACATATATTACAGTAAAACTTCTCCTGATGAACAAGTCCTAATTATAAATGATTTCAGATCCGACGAAACGACTGTTGCTGGGAATGCTTTTCTCTAATATGAATACACCTACAATATTTTTTTTAACTTTCATCTACTGTCTATCATCTGTTTCTTATGTGCTACGAGTAGGTCAATTGTCTGTATGATTTGAGTGCTCTACATGTAAAGAAAAGAATGACAACATCAGACAAGCTTATGTGGCAAGAAAAAATTAAATTGATTAATTAATAGATTGAAATTAGACTTATTCGATAGTGATATTATTTCAAACGTACCCTGACAGATTAACATTAGAAAATTTAAAAAAAAAACAAAATCTTTTGCTTTAATTGAAAAATTTTTCAATTTAAGACATTTTGATGAAAAGAGATGAACACAAGCATAGATACACTAGACTAGTGTAAAAGCAAATATTTTGAAGCAACTTCTTCATCGTACAGCCAATCATACGATAAATCTCTGACATGAACATCTCCATATAAGAAATACTTTTTTAATGATCATGGTATCATTCACAATAGAGCTTTGACTGTATTTGTTCAAACAAAAATGAAATCATTTCTAAACAGCATTTTACTTCTTATCTATAAAAAAATAAATTATATAATCTTTAATAAAAATTGAGATAAATATGTGATTTTTATTGTGAAAAATTAAGAAAATAAAACCAAACGATTAGGAATATCTCCATTCGGAATCGATTCGATTAGCGAAGTCGAATTGAACTATTCACTTAATTAATTTAGTATTGTTCTCTAATCGGAATTGAAATCTATTTGAATTGTTTTAAATTATACAAAATTTCGTATGTATACGATAAAATATATACGTAACTCATATTTTCAGATCGAAACTTAATGAAAGAATGTTTCAAATTGAACTGAACAAGCAAATACAGATGTTTATTGACAAATTTGATTTAAATATTATTCTTGAATGTAATAATATTCTATCGATCTCGAATTCAAGTTGAAATTTTGATATTTTTTAGTTCTGATAGTGTTTTGCTCTTTTGTATTATTTTATGTAATAAAAGGTATTTATTATGTATCATGGCTATGGTCATATAAAAATCAAAATTCGCTATTGTTAACCCAATTTTAAATGATGACAGCTATTCATAAATAAAAACGCGATGACTCAATTGATGTATACGTGACATTTGTCTTATCTTGACTTTTTTATATCACTATTACGTATTTATATTTTACTTGTTTGAATATTTACTTATGCATCGTAGCTATTGTTTGTCAATAGCGATTTAATGAATTATACTTATTTGCGTAGTTATAAAACAAATGGTCATTGATTTACAAACTGAATGTTCACTAGCAACGATATTCAGCATGACGACTACCAGTGAAGATAGTCAGAAGAAAAAAGTACATTTACTCATAGATGTTTGCGACAGCTTATTAACAATTATTCTTTTTCAAAGAAACCTATATATCACGTTAAGAAGGCAAAGAATTACTGAGGCATTGATAAAGAATGAAGAAGATAAAGATGAAAATGTTAATATCAATATAGAAACCAACAATATCAATGAATAACAGGAATGAACAGTTTTTGACCGGTTGTGAGAAGCCACATAACAAAAATTTTTTTTCCTACATAATTATTGTCGTTCCATCACAGAAATAGGAAAAGTTTTATAGGTGTAGACGAATAGAAAATCAATATCAACACTCACACTTTTCAGTTTTAAATGAAGGTGTCATTTGCTTCAAATTGGCAAATTCTCTTAAATAATGATTTCTAAAGATTCAGTTGTGAAAATTACTTAACATAGAAAATTTTTTAGGCTCTCTCCAATTGTTAAATCAAAATTTCGAAACGACGACGTTCATGAAAAATAAAACAAATAGATTTCTGAGGATAGTTTCTGATTAAATCACCTTTTGAAACTGCTCTGCTCAGTAGTATATAAGTCCAATGAAACCCAAATAGTAATATCTGTACAACTTGACGAGATCTACAAGAATAGCATATTTGTATCTTGGCAGAAAAAAAAAGTATATTGAAACGTGGGAAGACGTTCGTGGAAGTACTCTACAGATATTCATATCTTCTCTGTCTTGTATTGACTTTATGAATGAGTGAAAAATCACAAAAATCCTACAGTTTGATAGTTGAAAATTAAGAAAAATTTGTAAAATTTTGACCCATCGAGACCTTTTTTGCTAACTACTAACATCCATACTTGTTACTCTCCTAACTCCGTGAATAATCCTTCTTCTTAATGCAACTTGCAATAGATCAAGAAGAAAAATGAATCATTAATTGCCTGCGATACTGAATGTTCACACACATGAGCAAACTATTCTTACCATTCAAACGATCCTTTGGTTAATTGAGGGTGGATCCCTGTTATCTTCTCATTGAAAGATTTTTTTTTTCTTATGAATACATGAATGCCTGGTGAAATATGTTAAAGTAATCATCGTATTGTCAAAAAGTTTTATATCATCACTACAAGTGAAGCATTCACGAAATATTAACTTAATATGTTGACAGATAGCATCAGTCGCATGGAAAGGATTAAATACGAATATAGGAAACAGCACTTTTCGACTAAGTTATTAAAGTATTTGATAGACATTAAAGATGTTACTTATATGTTGTTATCTATGTAAAATGTATCAATCTGAAAAGTCTATGTCACACTTTTCTGCATATATATTCTCTTTCAATTTTTTATATAAATTCAATGCGATAATCTATTAGTAATGCTATACCCTTATTTGGTCTATAGTGTCATCTAGCAAACACTTACGTATGGTGATAAAACAATGAAAATTTGTTTCAGAAAAAATAACAACACAAACTTTTCCTCAATCTGAATTTTAAGATTAAAATATGATAGATTTTAAAATAAATATATCTTGTGCATATAAATGCAACTAAACTACAAGTTTTAAGATTATCATTAATACAGTGTTTGCAATGAGAAAAGGCAAAAAAAAAACATTTAGCACTTTCTATCAATTGTCATTTATAACATTATTAAAAATATTTATTTCTACATTAACAATATTTTTCTTTTATCATTCGCTGTCAATTTATAGACTCATGAACACTTTTCTTGTCATCTAATTCATCCTATTATTGTTATCACCTTTTTATACATTTATTGTTCATTTGTCACTTGTTTTTTTTCTTGATGTTAATATAGGCTACAATTAAATGAACATCTCTAGGATAAGAAAAAAAGAAAAGAAAAAGGAGGAAACGTACAGATTTCTTTTTATTCTACCTTTTGTTACAAATCACGCTCGTCAGCTGTCATTAACCGAAATAGAAGAGTATGTTCTTTTCTATTTTTCTCTATAATCAAATGTCTTTACTATGTCACTTGAAAGTTCAATAGAAATAGTTGTCAGAAGTTTAGAACACATTCTCTTTTCAGAATTAAATAAGCATGCATGTCAAAAGACTATAATTACATCAAACTAGTGCCTGTTCTTTTTTTCTTGTTTTTTTTTTCTTTTACGCTTGATCGCGATAGTCAGTTGACTTGAAAGCATGTCCTACTTGATTCAACATCAAAGCTTTGGTAATCACCACCTCATTTTCGTCTATAAAGATCAACAATATAAAATCAATGAATGACCGCATTTTTGACACATCATCAGAAAAAAAGAAAGAGAAGGAAGAAAATGATCATATATAAACTGGTGAGAGAATATAGTTTTGCTATCATTGAACATGATATCAACTTCAATTTGTTCTACATCTGACTATTATTCAAGTAGTGATATTGAATATGATGATGTTGATGATGATGTCGTCAAAGCTGCTCCACAACATTTTTCTTCAATAAAAGAAACAAATCTTATTCTTCAAACACTTCTTCAACATCAGCATGTATCATCTTTAATTTCTTCTACAATTAAAAGTCAACAATCAATGAGATTATTCAAGGTAATTGTCAACGCATATTTTTCTTTTATATTTTTTCATGATTTTTTTTTTTTTTGTTACTTAATAGTTAGTTCAAGAAAATCATTTATCTAATGAAATCTTCATTCGAGCTAATGCTATTCTTCACAAATTTCTTCTTTCAATATGTACAAATGAAATAGATGAATCAATTCTTATTGCTTGTTTATCTTTGGCAACAAAACTAAATGAACATTCTACTCATTCGAATATAACTCTTTTTAATAGTAGCTCATTAATAGTAAGTATTTTTTACTTGTTTTAGTATAATTATCATTGTTATAATATTTAGACGAATGAAACCTTGATATGCAATAAACTTGATTGGGATATTGATATACTAACACCAATAAATTATGTCGAAGCAATTCTATTACATGTGTTGAATTATTCAATAAAAGATCGTCTGCGACAATTGACTTATGAATTAATTGTGCTATGTTTAACTGGTAAGTTCATATTTTGTATAATTGATAGTTTAACATGTTGTCAAATGTTTAGATAGTCGTTGCATGGATTTATCTGCTTTTTCAATGACGATAGGCTGTTTATTAGTAGCTTTTGAGATGATGGATTGTTGTGAATTAATGCCAAAACAAGTGTTTGACTATGACCAAGAGAAAAAAAATTTATTTGAGGTATATTTTTATTGATGAAGTTCTTTAAAATTTATTCTTGAATCAATTTTAGATATCATTCATCAATGTTCATCAAGTGCTTATGAATATTCTTCATCGATAATTTATTATGATTACTATTGTACAGAATATTTAACTAAAAGAATCGATAACGGCGTTTCATAGCATACACACATAAAATGAAATTATTTTTTAACGTATTTATATAAAAAAAAATGAAAGATTTTATTTATATTTAAAAATAAAAACTAGTTTATATTCACTTTTTAAATAATTTTCTACAGAAAGATATTACATAACTGATTGAACCATCTATTTATGCCATTTCGAATATATCTGTTGTATAGGAATGTCATATCAATGAATGTTACCGTTTTTGACTTAACCAGATCAGGCGGAGATTTCATAGAAAGCTTTGAATTTCTCTGTCACCAACAGTTAGATTCAGCTTAAAAGGGACTTGAGCTTTCTTTAGAAGCGTTGCTAGAAAGTCGCTGTCGTCTCTAGAGACATGGTCAAGAGACTGAGTGCTCCATTTCTCTACCACGTTATTCTGGTTACACTGTCAATAATAGTATAGAGCTAATTTATTTGGAATATTCTTTTCTTTTAGGAAACACGCTGTATGAAATTTATAATTTTATCAATGCTTGGTTAAGAATATTATGTAACTAATGAGAAAAGATTTTGAACACAGAGTTTTCTCATTGCATGTATATGTATATTTCTTTTTGTGACATTCATGCCATAATCATTTACAAGATTTTCGAAATTATTTAAAATATAAAAGATTATTTTCAAGATAGCTGACAAAATCAGAAAATGCACTAATATGTCTTTAATCTAAGTTTGATTTCCATAATCATTTACTGCTGTATTGATAACTACAAGGCAAAACATCATAACGTCATGTTTTTAGAGATATTTAATCATATTTCAAACACTTTCTGTGATATGAGCAGATTTTTTTATTTAAACTTAGTTTATTATGAAGAAATTTTTAGCATTTTTGACATCATAATACAAATGTGTTCCGCTAATTAGTGAAAAAGTATTGAATGAATGATTATTGGTGTTTAGAATCCATGTGTAATATATAAAATGTCAATCAACCTATTATGATTTGTTTTATGCATAATTAGATGTTATTTTTATCTCATTAGTCAAAATGAAAAAAGAAATATTGGTTACCTAGATTCTGAAAATAGACGTTAGCTACTGATAGTTACTTTCAACAGAATTAAAATCTTTGAAGTTGAGAGTATTATCATTAATTTCAACAGGAAAAGTAAATTTATCTGCAATAATTATTTGAAAATAATTAAGATAATCATCATAATTTCCATAAAAATTTGACGTGATTTTTTATTCTGACTATAAAAAAAGAAAAATGAATTAATAATAGTTTCCTCTGAAATATTATTGATAAAAATAACGTATCGAAGTTATTGCATATTAATTGAATAACAAATATTAAACAATCGAATAATAATAACAATTGTTTCAAGAAGAATGGAACTCTCTGTATTCTAACGATATCTCTTTCAATGTTCATTTCTTGAGGCTTTATTTTTTTTTCAAGATTCATCTTTTAATTTTCTACAGAACGATACATTTTTTATGAATGTAAATGACATAAGGAATTTCGTATGGCACGCGTCAAACAAACAGTCAAATATGAAGAACTTTGTGAAATAAATTTTTATCAAGTTATTTTGATCATATCCTACAGTTTTCGTATGACAGCTTCTTTTAAAATAATGGATGAAATCTACAAATTCATTTCATTTTACATATTTCAACACATTTAAGTGTAGATTACTAGGCGATCAATTGTTCTTGAAGATAAAAGAGGGAGAGTTGTCTTGACACAGTTATTGTGTAAGCTAATAGATGTGAAGTTTCGGACTAGAGTCTGCTGACATGTTTGATCTAACGTCGATGGTCATTTTCGGCTAAATAAAATTGAATGACGCTCAATACATTCAGAATATTCTTTCAGAACTACTAAAGTATAGAAATGAGATCTTCACCACAGAATAGACATTTTTAGCAGACAGTAGTGCTAAGTTGTAGGTCTCTCAATTCATGCAACAGTGTTGCCAAGATAACTTTCTCTCTTTTATTGTCAAGAACCATTTATCACCGAATATTCCACATTCAAATGTGTTGAAATATGTAATTTGAAATGAATTTGTAGATTTCATTCATTATTTTAAAAGAAGCTATCATACGAAAACTGTAGGATATACTCAAAATAACTTGACAAAAATTTATTTCATAAAATTGTTCATATTTGACTGTCTGTTTGACGCGTGCCATACGAAATTACGTACATCATTTACATCAATCAGAATTTTATCGTTTTGTAGAAAATTACAAGATGAATCTTGAAAAAAAGATAAAGCCTTCACAAAATAAATCGTTATAGTTAGTTTTTCATTCGAATAATGTCTATATTCAATTTTTCTAATAACAAATAAGTATTATAGAAGTTATTTGGAAGACTTGAAAATTACATTCTGTTATTATTTTAAATATTTTTCCTTAGGTTAAGATAATCAGTAAGTTTTATGGTTAATTGAACCCATCGTTAAAGTGTAGCTTTTTAATTTCAAATAACATTCAAATTGATAACTAATGTATGAAAATTATTTACATATCAATAAAATTAATTATCTGTGAGGTTATGCCTTTTGTCGATGCGTACAAATGCTTGCACTGACTTGATTTACTCATTTTGATGGTATTTGAGAACTATTTATATATCCATCCTTAAGAAATGAAAACCGCATTACTGATTTATAAAATGAATATATCAAGTTGATAGAGGAAGTTCAATAAGGTTATAATTAATAGATAAGAAAGTGACGATAATACATGACTTGAAAAATCAACGGATCGTTGAAAATTATTTTTTTAAATTTATTCGCTATATGCAAATGTCGATATTAACCTTTCGATAGTATATATTACATCGTAACTACACCAATATTCTAATTTTTTGCATTGTACGGCAAACAAACGTCGACATTTATTATAAAGTCTTGGAAGACCTTGAGAAAAAACATCCCGAGAAGCTATTAATAATGCTCAGTAAAGTCTACATTATTTATTCATCATTACAAAAATTGCACGTACGTGATTGAAATGAATAATGAACTATAAATGTATATATATAGATATTGTATTATTATCATCAGTTAATTGCTCATTATTTGCTGTTTATTTGATGTGTAAATTCCTGTAGAGTCAATCTTTTCGACAGTGACTCCGAAATGATGTCTTTCTGATGTTATTTTTCTCTTGAAATTTCTTTATGAATCTGGAAAATAGTACATTTTTGTTCACTAATTAACATTTGTTGCAACAACTTGTTAGAATGTAAGTGTAAACATGCTTGCCTGTTTTACTAATTGTACTCCGACATTGAGTCTGAAGAAAATTCTTCACAAGCATAACCACCGGAAAAAAAATTTCTTTTAGCGACTCCGAGTCTGCTTCAGGGCTTGATCGATGCACGATAACTTCGGCACGACATAGATATATATATATGTATGCATCTCAATTCACAGATTAGAGAAGAACTATCCTATATTTGAATTTCAATTTTGACAACTCACTTGTTATAAATAAGTAATGTAATTATTATATAAATAAGCTATGATATCAATGATTAACACCTTCATTAATGTCATATGATGATTGATCATTCGGTTTTTTTTTTCTCTTTTGAAGATTTACAATGAGTTATTTGTGTTTTTTTCTTTATTTTGATGAAAAAAAAATGTCAAAATTTAATGAAAATTGTGTGTTCAAGATACGCTTGCTAAGCAGCTCAAAGAGAGCTAGTGCAACATGAAGAAAATAAATCTATTTTAACATGGAGAGAATTGTTAAATATGACAACATTCATTATTACGATGACAACTATTTTTCTTTTTCAAGTATAAGTTTTTGATACTCTTACAATAAGTTCATGGGATTAAAAAAGAATGCAGTGTCTTTTCAATAATTAGTAAAAATAAAAAAATCACTTTCCAACACGTACGATTTAATTGTAATACAAATATATTTCTGACTTTGAAACGATTGACATGAACATATTATTTATTTTATTAATTTCGATTATTTCATATATTTTCTAACATGTTTTGATATATTTACATGTTTTGTTTTTAGCTAAAAGAAATATGTTTACATTTGTGTTCACTTTCTCTTTGATCTTGACATTTACTAATAAAAAATCAATATGGTTTTTCAGACAAGAATAAATAACGAACGATAGTGGCATTCTAGTATATCAAAGGTCATATTTACAAACACAAATGTCGATCCTCAATGCAAATGTACCAAAAAACAAATGTTATACACACCAAGCTTGTATTTTTCATTTTTCTTATCTGTTATATATTATTACTAATTAGTTAACCTATCAGTATAGGTTAATTCTATTTTATGTTCAAGAACTAAATTTAGCATATTATTAGTCTCACAAATACAATGAAATAAATAGAGTGCGATCGTTTAAATATATTTATGAATAATAAGAAAATATTATACTTTTTAATTTATATCAAGGCGTTTTTGAGACTACAGCTTAACCGGTTATCATAGAAAAGATTATTTTCTGAATCATAGAAGGGTGGTATTTAGATTGTATATTAAACCTTCTATTCCTTGATAATCTTATCATATGGAGTCCATCCGTTATAACTTCATTACTGATATAACATCGGGACACTAATTCAATTATATTGAAGATCATCAAAGTTTGTTTAGTCTTAAAGCGACAATCATGTAAATGATAAAGATACATTCAATAAGCTGCGAAAGTTGCTATTACTGCTTTTTTATGTAAAACAATTTTAGTTCATTAGAAAAAAATTTCAAAAGCTTAATAAAGTAACATTGATTATAATTAATAAAGACTTGATTTGTTAAGAAACTTTTTGCGTATCCCAGCATATTCTACCAAGAAATATCATGACAGAAAACGTTCATTGATGTTATCAAGAATTATTAGTGTTAATTTAGAATCATATTATTCTGTTGTTTCTTCTAATTATACTCAAAATATTCTTAATTTAATTGCATGAAGCGAATGACGGCAGCAGTTTGTTGCGAATATATTTTACAGCAATAAACCAAAATAATTTCCTTGTTGGCTGTTAATATTTCTCCAAACAATGCTATAAGAATCGCAGAATTTTTTAATAATCTGCCCTAAACAATTACACGTTCGATTGGATTAAAGAAAAATGTCGAAAATGTTTTCTATTAGCTCAATTACATTCGTAAGTATTGGAATCCACATTTCTGATAATAATTATAATAGTAATTGTAGGTCTCAAAAATTGAGAACAAATCATCAAATTCTAAACAAAACTTTATTTGATTCGTGATTTTTGGAAGTAAAAGAAAAAATGTATATGTTTAAGAACTTTTTTCTCAAAAAAAAAGAATGCATATATTGTCCTCTGTTCTTCCCATGCACTCAATGCTTATCATGTTTCATAAAAAAAAAAGTTGTGTGAAGGACGTATAGGTGACTTTTTTTCCTCCTATGACGTCGAACGCTTTTTGTATAAAAAGAAAAAGAATAAATTTAATAACAACCTACATGTGCCTGCCACGTTGTCAACGTATGAGAAAGCAGTCAACTTGATCAATGCAAAATGCACACGAAAATAACCTATCGTTTGTGTCATAGTTATTCTTGGTCTAGAGAAATAAATAAATGTTCAACGTAGATTATCGAAATCGTGATGGGATCATAAGGAACATCAATATATGGTTAAAAAGATACACATTATTAATATGGCTATTATTTGTCTGTTGTGTTACTTTGTATATGAAATTCCAATCAAAAAGGAATGGAGAGAAATCAAGCGAAGGTATTTGTAATTTTGAAAAAAATCATTGAATTTGTGTTTTGTTTTGGTTAGGTTATTTTTGGGTATTTACTGATTCACATATTGATGTTCTTTATCGAAATGATGGTGATCCAACTACTCGTTGTCGTAATGTATCAGTAACTAATATGACAAAAACAAATCGAAAATTTGGTCATTTTGATTGTGATACACCAAGAGAATTATTAATATCAACATTATCTGCTGCAAAGAAAATTGATTCAAATATTGATTTTATTATTTGGCTTGGGTATAGATTCATTTCTTTTCTTAGAATTATTGAATTTTAATTCTATTAGTGATGCAACAAGTCATCTAGCGCATAGTAGTGATACTATTCTAACTGTTAATCAATACTTTTCTCAAGAATTACGAAAACATTTTCGAAAAACTCTTGTTATACCTGTTTTAGGTAAATTTTGAGTTTTTTTAATATAATGAATAGAAAAATATTTATTTTTCTTCTTATTTATTTAGGAAATCATGATGTTGTCTTAAAAACAAATCGATCAACACGTTTTATACAATTTTATAATGAAACAAAATATAATTTGTTATTAAATGATAATGATGCACTTCGAACATTTTTAAAAGGTATTATACAAAGAAAAAATTAATAAACTGATGAAAGATTACTACGAATCGATATTGTTGCTATATAGATTTATTTTAGGTGGTTATTATTCATTAAACTTTCGACCCTTAAAAAATAAACCACAAACAGTTTTACGTTTTATTGCACTTAATACCGCAATGTTTCAACCACAATATATGGATTATTTTGATTCAAATGAACCTAATGAACAAATTGAGTATGTAAATTAATTGATTTACTGAGAGAAGATTCCAAGGCTTTTATTTGACTTGATTGTTTCTTTGTATGTTTAAAAGAACGAAGTACAAAAAATAAAAACTAGTGTCATGTCTAACATCGAATGTATGTTCCAGATTCTTCATTTTCTGAGTATATAACATCACTGTGTTATTAGAAAGTAATTAACGAAAGAATCATTGTATGCTTTACGTTTGAAGACTCATGTACTCTTGAGATTTACTATGTCTCTTACAGCACAAATTAATTGTTTATTTAGATTTTATCCTCTTGCTGTTGTGTCTGCATTTATTCAAATAAAATAAGAGCTAATAATAGTATCTCGTGATAGATAGAAGAAAACGGAAAATGTCAAAAAGGCATCCGAATTCGAGATTTATTAGAATATAAATAAAACAAAGAACAATATTATCACAAGAGCTTGTGTTGTTATCAATCGATTCCTTTAATAACTGTACCAATAAAGAATGGTTACAAAAAAAAAGAATCTTTTATCAGAAGTATAACGACTCAATTAACGATAATAGCTGTGCTAAATTAGAACTAATTAATTTTATAATATTGATTCCGTCTGATGCATTACCCGAGGTGTTGGGAATTGCAATAGTCTGTTGATTCCTTTTTTTTTGTGTTGAAACCAACATCCAATGTTTTTCTTTTTCATAAAAAGACTTTACCATTGTAATTTATGCTTTATTGAATGAATATATTTTATTTTCAGGTGGTTTAATAAAACGATGTTTGAGGCGCATAATCTCAATGATCGTATATTACTTTTAGCTCATGTACCATTTGGTATAAATGAAAATTTACTATATAAATTTTATCATATAAAATATGAACAAAAGCTTTTATCTATAATTAATCAATATTCATCAAATATAATAATATGCTTAAGTGCTCATCGTCATCAAGACTTATTTCGTGTTTATTCATCATTAAATATAACGATGGGCATTATTGGACATCCATCTATTAGTCCTATTGGTTATTTAAGTCAACCATCGATTCGAAAATACTCATATGATAGAAAATCACTCATATTAACTGATTACGAACAATATTCATTAAATCTACATGCAGCTGAACGTACACAAAAAGACCAATGGACATTTTCTTATAGATTTTCATCATGGTATCATCAATCGAAAGAACTTACATCAAAAAATTTATTGCAACTGATTTATTTAATACGAACAAATTCTTTTTATTTAAAACGTTTTCTATTAACAAAACATTATACAGAAAAGATAGTTTTAACAAATCATCGAATAGTTCAAACATTATGTGCATTAACACTCTTCAATTTTGATGAATTTATGTCATGTACAAGAGTATTAGAAAAAAAAGGTGTTCAATATGATAATATAGCTTTTAATAATTCATTAGAAAGCAAGTCTCATGTGAATGAACAACTAATAGAATATAGAATTATTTATAGACGTGTTGCATTGAGTCTTTTTATTTTTCTTGTTATTGTTGCGTGGACTATTTATCGAATTTATCTGAAGTTTTTTTTATAGTATGGATTGGCAATAAGAATAATTTTTTGTTATTGTTGTTTTCCATGAAATAAAAAGAAAATCCCTAATTCGAATTTCTTAATCTATTTATACCAATTTGGTTGTCACTTAGACAAAACATTTTATGACATCTTCGGCCTTGTCAATCAATAATATATAATAATAGAAAAAGAATGATGTACATGTGTTTAATTTTTATCAGATTTTCAATCGTTGTATCTACTACAATTATATATATGTATCCATATGCACACATTGAGAACGCATTACATTGCCCGAAGAGATGAATAAATATGGCTTTTTTTTCTCGTTCTTCAATAGCTTTGTTGTTACCAATTTTGGAATATCCATTTTTATCATTATTATTATTATTATTATTATTATTGTCATTGAAGCAATAAGAACGTTGTTGTCATGTAAATGATTTGTTCTTCAATGAAGTGCTTCATACATTGCTTAGTCTTTTCTATTTTATTCAAATTTATCGCGTAAAAAGAAGCGACAAAGATTTGTCTACATCTATGAATTACTTCTCAGTTCTAGACATTCGCATGCATTTCTTCGATCGTATGCTATATTGTTTGTGTGCGAAGTAGAAGCGTCTCAAAACTAGGACAGAATGAAATAACAACAACATCACCGCCATTTCCGCACGTCGAGTAGATAATTTATTCTGAGAGATAGAGCGAGGATTCCCGAGAGAAAAAATAGTCTCTATCTCTGCAACATTAGACTATAGAACTATATTAACGTTAAACCGCATCGAATATTTCAGAGAGCGTTCTGTGTTTTAACAACAAAATAATGGTAAATAATAGATTTTTAGGATTGAAGTCATATTTTCCAAACATTCTTCTCTCTTAATCTAATTTAGACAGATGAAACAAAAAAATTTTGGCATGAAAAAATGAAACACTTATTTCATCTCTATGGTAGATATTTTTCAACTAATAATATCTTTATTAATTAAGTGCTAAATATTCTCGTTCTTTTTCTTTTTTCTAGATGTTGATAGAGATGGTTCAATAACTCCAATCGATTTTGAGATTCTTGCTGATAAACTTTCAACACTTGTCGGACAAGATGATGTGAAACGACGTGAAGACTATGCAAATGCAAGAAAAACTCTGTGTCAAGAAATCATGAGAGCAGATGCTAATCTAGATGGAAAAGTAACATTAGGTTAGATTTTTCAATAATGTATTTTAGTTTTCAAAAAAAAAATTTTTTTTCATTTAAGAAGAGTGGCTTAATTTTCATGAAAATCTTGCTAATGAATTACGTAAACCTGATACAAATCCGGAAGTATTAGAACAAATATCTCAACGTATAAATACAGCATTTAATATGCTTGATCTGAATCATGATGGTTATATAGCAATTGATGAATGGATAAAAACTTGTGAATTTTTTGGTGTTGATGAAAAAACAGCAGAAAAATCTTTTCATCAAATAACGAAGCAAGATAAACTTGAAGAAGATAGAGCTAAACAATTATTTGTTGAATATCTAAAAACAGATGATCCAAATCATATATCAAATTGTTGTTTGTGTTTTCTTTGATAGGCCTTGTCATTTATTATATGATATCACTCATCAAAATTAAGCATATATATGTTGTTTTCGTCTTTCTATGTATTGCATTTATGTTGTCTTTTTCTTTCTTTTATCTGTCGGTTTTGATACAGAGTTATTGGAATAAATCGTACAAGCAATGACAATTGAAATATTAAGAATGAAACTAATTAATAAATTTATCACCATACTCATGTCTTTTGTTTGAATAAAATTTGTAATTATTCGAGCTAAATTATATAATATTTTAGAAGATAAAAATAAAGATTAATACATCATACCACAATTACTATAAGATGCAATAACCCAACCAGTTCGACTAACTTGACCAGCACTTTTATTTGAAAGAATTGTTCGTAATTGAATTATTTTTGATGAAGCACCAATAGGAATAACAAACATCTGTAGTGAAGATATTCGAATAAAACAATTTTATTTACTGTCAAATTAAAATAGAATTTCTTACAGTACAAATACTCATCCATTTTTTTGGTAGAAGATCCAACAAACTTGCTACTAGATAAAGACAAAAACTATTAAAAATAAACAATACATATTAGTATTTGATTATGAAGAATTGTTTGTATATTAACATTAATATTCCATATAAAGGTTTTGATCCATCATTCTGTTTATCTTTGTCTTTTGTTGAATATGTTGCCAATGCCCATAGAAGAAATATATCTAAATTAATTATTTCTCATAGTAACTTTTTAAAAATACAAATTTCTTACCTTGTACAAAAAGAAATATATATTCAAAAAATGCTGATAATGGATAATTTCTCCAAAGATTATAAGTTAAAACTAATGTATAACTAAAATGAATGAAATTTAGGAAAAAAAAACGATTTCATTATGTTTATTTACTTACGCTGTTTCTTCAAGTAATACAGATGATATTGAAATACTAGCAACATTTTTTGTTTTATAAATACGAACTATTTGTGATAATTTTTGTATAAGACATAAAATGTTAACTGAAAGACTCAATAAGTCTAATAAAATCATTTATTGTATATTCTAAAACTATTGAATATCTTAAATATTCTTTTAAATGATTTAAATAATCTTCTACATATCAAATTATGTAATTCGATATCGCAGATTTTTCTCAAGGTCATTCGGAAAAATATTACATTCCAAAAATAATTAATAATAAACTTTGACAATAGAAAATGTTTATATAGTAAAATCGTCAATTGTAATAAAAGCTCGATGAATGTATAATGAACTAATTTGAATATTCATGCATTATGACATGATCAATATTTTTTATAAGAGATGTAAAGGAAACATTCTGTTGACATAAATTGTTTATTTGTCAAATACATTTAGTATATGTTATCTTTGTATTCATGCATATCAATATTTATAATTAAAAATCAGTTTGAGATTAGACATAAGGAAATTATTTGTCAAATATATTCTGAAAAAGGAAAATGTCTTTGTCGTGGAGATAAAATTCACCTTTTTTTTTTATTATATCATCTTATCTCAAGTTTTCTTCTAGTAAATCACCTCCTGTCAAAATAATCTTGATCTTTTTTTTTCTTCTTCTTCTTTATCAATAAAGAAAAAAAAATATATAAATGATTTTATTTTCTGTCTATTTATCAGTTATGAAAGTTAGATAACTGCGACTAATAGTTTCGTATAATATTTTAATTAATTTGAGTTAAATAAAATAACTTATTGAAAACTTTTGAATGTCGAAAAAAAGCAATTGAAAAGCTAAGATTTATTTCATTATTCTAATTGAAAAAATAATGTATATATGAGTTGGAATAAAATTTTTTCATTGAGAATTGATTACAAATGAACAGGCAAAAGAGATGAATATAGCAGTAAGAGTTCTGATGAATATGTGCTCGATATTGATTAAAGCCAAACATCTATCAGATAAAAGTAGCAGAATCGATTTTATTGATGATTTACCATACAAATGATTACAGACCATCAATCATGTAAGAATAGAGAAGAAATTTGTTTTTTGTGCTAAACGCTTTATCTTTGCATTAGTATTCTTATTATTGGCCGATTCCGATTATTTTATTATCGAGGTAATTTAAATCATTGGTTTTTCTCACCAATGGTTTCATCACTGAGTTATTATATTTAGTTTTTTGAAGATTTATTCTCTTTATAGTAAATTATTGTAGCCCGTTCTTACTCTTGAATTGTGATGTGTAACAAGAATTATGAATAGATAAATAGAAATTCTTGAATATGGTCTAATTGTTCAAGAAGAAAACTATCCTGTATGAAATTTCGTTTTCGTTTAAACGTTAACTTTTCGAACAATATTCTATGATTTCTGCAAGAGATAAACGAACTTTTAAACTCAGGAGAATAATTTTTCATGCCTATACTGTTCAATTTTTATTTTGTTCGAATCGTGCATTTTTATATCAAGATGAACAATGTTCGAAATAATCATATGTATAATTAATTAATTTTTTTATAGGTTCTCTGATTAGATCCGGTGCAGATGCTCTATTCATGAATGATATTTATATTTTAATCTTATTAAATACTCATCATATTTGTTTTCCCTCTTATTTATTTTTAAGAATAAGACACATCAAATTCTGACGGTAATTCATATATTAATTCCATTACCCATGTAAAAAATTTACTATAGGAAAAAATTGAAAATCGGATTAAAAATCGATTATAATGGCACTATTATAATCAGATTATAATCCGATTTTTCCGCTTTAAAAGACAGATTTCTTTGAACTTAATCTTTTTCAATCTATTTTAATCGTTTAGACAAGTCTGCTTAGTTAAAATCGATTTTTTTTAAACAATTATAATCGATTTAATTTTAATAATCGATTAAAATAGATTGAAAAAGATTAAGTTCAAAGAAATCTGTCTTTTAAAGCGGAAAAATCGGATTATAATCTGATTATAATAGTGCCATTATAATCGATTTTTAATCCGATTTTCAATTTTTTCCTATAGTAAATTTTTTACATGGGTAGAATAGTCGCTTTTATTAACCTTTTTTATTGCATTTTATTTTCTACAACATTTTCCAAGAGGAGAAAAGCAACCTTCAGTCTCCTACACAACAGTTATGAGGCTAATCTAATGTTGTTCATCTTTTAATGAGATGGTTGTTTGTTTTCGTAGTTGACAGTATAATAGGTTCGTTGAAATTCAGATTAAATCTTGCATATCACGTATTTATACATTAAGAAATTGATAAGTCTCTTTAACTATTTTTGAATTTTCATATCTTTCTTGATTTGTTTTGTTTTTCGGTTGTGTGAAGTTTTGGCATTTTTGTCTAGCATCTGTCGGAATTTTCACAGTAAAAAATATTGTTGTAATTCTGGCTTACTACCGAGCTGCAGTGGAATGTAGCAAGAGTATTGGTGACACTCTCGAATTTCGACAATTTCCCAGAGGAATTTTAACAATCTTTTTATTGGAAAAAGTTCGTATGAACTTTGAGCAAATTATCCATATTCAGGTGGTGAAATTTCAGCTTAGCAAGTATAAAAATAAAAATCATGCTTGAAATTCTCTTGTTTTTGATTGCGAACAATCCAAAATTTCGTCAAAACATCTATTCAAGATATTGATATATTAAAGTTACCAATAAAACATCTGTGAACAGTTAGATGTTGTTTTATAGATGTAGATATTCAATATTCTACTGTGCGATCATCCAGCTTTGCTTTTTTTTCTTATTTGACTATTTAAAATCGATTATTCTTACAGTTTCATCTCACGAGGGAACCGTTCCAACTGATAAATCGCTTTTTTAATGAAAGCTGGGGGGTTATAGGTTATCGACTATGCTGATTCCGAATATGAGTATGAGGAGTGCCCTTAGGCCTTCATAGGGTGGGTTTCTGGAAAACCAGGTCTTCAGAAAACTAATTTAAATGAAATTTTTGTTTTTGATCTGCTCAGATTATAGAGCACATTGAGTTGCCTATAAATCAATAGTTTTTCCTGCTTTGCATGGATTGTCTTGAATAAACAACATTAAACTTTCCTATTTGTACAGTGAAATGCTAGTAATATGCATCTACTATGTGAATTCCATTGACTGTATGTCATCGTAAAATCTATTTGAAACAAAAGAAAATATCGATTAATAGACAACTTGATGTGCTTTATAACCTGAGCAGGTCAAAAACAAAAATTTAGTTTAAAGTTGGTTTTCTAGAGATCTGGTTTTCTAGAAAACCATCCTATAGAGGCCTAAGGGCACTCCTCATACTCATATTCGAAATCAGCATAGTCGATAACCTATAACCCACCAGCTTTCATTAAAAAAGCGATTTATCAGTTGGAACGGTTCCCTCGTCAGCATCATGAATTACTTTGACATTATTAACACAAATTTTAACCGATATAAAGATTTATTTTTCAACTAGGAACTGTTTTTTGACAAATTATTACGATATTTTCAATTGAGTCTGACAAATCTTTTTGATTGAATAGAATTCTCTAAAATCTATATATCTTGGAATACTCAAAAACGATAAATATAAAAGGAAATAGAAAATATTTTCCGAGTATAATTCCGGTATACTGAACTCTTTATTAAGATAAGTTGATAAGAACACTTTGAATAGGGCATAGAAAAAAGGAAAACTGAATAATTCTATTTTATCTAAGAACATTCTTTTCAAAGGAAGTGGCGCCTATACCCCCCCCCCCCCCCCCCCCCCCCCCCGCACAGTTTTTTTCTATTTGCCTATTTTTTGGTTTAGACTTGTGGGAAGAGATGAAATCACTGGACTAGACCTTTGTCTTTTTTGATATTAGCAAGAAACTTAATACTTTCGGAAAGAGCGGTTTCCATGATTTTGACTATCGAAAGTCGATTTGTATCAAAGATAGGCATGATATTCGGAATTAGCATGCGAAAATACACCAGAAACTCTATTTTTCATCGTAAAGCTTTTCCATCAAAATTTTGACCTGTAGGGGAGTATAGGTTACAATTTTAGGAATAGATGGCTAAAGGGAAATAGGGGTAAAATTTTGATGAAAAAGTTTTACGATGAAAAATAGAGTTTCTGGTGTATTTTCGCATGCGGATTCCGAATATCATACCTATTCTTGATACAAATCGATTTTCGATAGTCAAAATCTAGAAATACTACGCATTTCCATGATATTTTCTATGAGAACCGTCCTTTCCGAAAGTATTATGTTGCTTGCTAATATCAAAAATGTCAAAGATCTGGTTCAGTGATTTCATATTTTCACACAAGCCTAAATCAAAAAATAGGCAAATGGAAAAAACTATGCGGGGGGTGGGAGATATAGGCTATAGAAAAGGCGACACTTACTTTATTTTCTATGGTCGGTAATTTATCAAACATTAAAAATACTTTGATATTACAAAAATATTGCTCAAAACTAAAAGTTATTTTTATACTTATGCACTTTATTTTGTTTTTTTCCTTTTATGATTAACTTGTTGTTTGCTGTAAAAGACATTTATATTTTATGTGGATAAGACTTTCACTAGCACATTTATGTAAAGGAACAATGAAATAGATAAAAGAAAAACAAAAAGAATTTTTGACTTAAATACATATACTACGAAAATGATTCAAATTGAATCGTCCTGAATAAAATCCTTTACGACGAACTATTTTTCGACTCATTTCATCACTCAAGACATCGTAATTACACTTGAATTAGTTATTGTATTTTGATGACAAAAACAGTTTTTTTTTCGAAAACTTTATTCCTCTTGATAGAAATAAAGTGACGAACAAAAGGTTAACAAAATATTGTATTTTTTTTTATTCTGTTTACTGATTCATACTAAGAAAATTTTAATCATTGATATACTTAGGTATAGTCTATCGTTACTAATAGCATGTGACAAGACCAAAAAGATGTCAGTATCTTTGTTCAAATTAAGATTTAATTGTTTTCTCGACTGAAAAAACATTTCAGATCAACTTATATACGCTCATTTTCAATATGCTTCGTTTAATATGATAACAATAATTTTATTTCTGAAGATTTCTATTTTGAGAAATCTTCTTCTCAAATTACCTTCATCATTTAAGCCCTAAAATTTATACAGTTGTCCATAGAGTTTTCATGAAAAAGTCTAGGATTTTTGTTTTTGTGGTTATGTCACAGGTCCTTGGTATTAAACTGCACTGTTGAGAAAAGGACAAAAATTTATATTGATTAAAGTATTTTGAGTGTAGATGACCAGTTGGTTTTCCATTGAGTGTAATAAATTTTAATAACAGTTTAATGAATTACCAAATTTTGAGATCCTATAATATGTTTTTTTTTGAAATTGAATTTAACAATGCACCAAATTCTCTCGCAAATAATCTATTTCGAGGCTATCAAATACATGTATATAACATGAGTTCAATCAGTCTTTCAAATCGTTGCATCATAGTCAATAACAACAGTAAATTTAAGTATAGAATGATTTATTGTTCTTATAGATCTAGAAATAATCATCGAACTCAACTCAGATTCATGCGTCTTCATAATTTTCAGGTACATATGTTTGTAGACAATTTGACGCACTATTAGACTAAAGAGCAAAACTAATTGTAAGGTCTCAAATGTTGCCGTAAATATTTCAGATACTTCATTTAACTGATATTACGAAAGAAAAAGAAAAAATTTATCGCACTCGATAGAGAAGAACTTACTATCAACATTTTAAATACTTTATTCAATGGTACTTTTTGTGCTCTTTCCAACTATGCACTTTTATATAGAGTTTGCATTACATGAACACAAAAAAAAGCTTAAGTGTTTCATAAAAACTATGCAGACAATTCTATAAACTTCAGAATTTGGATTTTTAAGATAAAAGATGTCCAAAGTTGATTAACATATTATGTCAAACACATTCTATCATTTCATATGATGTCTTCAGAAACAGAATCGTTGCTTGTTATATTAAAAAAAGCATGATAAACACAAGCATAAATTAGTTGTTCCTAAACTTTTTCATACGACTGTATCATAAACGATAAATGATATTAAAATAAGGCAATTAAAAATGGTTACATTGTGAAGTTTAATTTCCATCTAAATAACAATCATATTCATAGGGACATTGTTAAGGATAATATTTAATTATATTTGTTTAGTCTCTAACATTTTTATGATAATTTCAATTTAAATATTTAGTCTTTTTTATTTGATGCCATCAACAATTTTTCTCATTTTTTCTTCTAAGAGCATTTTCGATTTTATTTTATTTGACCTGCCTTCATTAATGTTAATCAAAAATTAGAGCAATATTTGTGCGCTCCAATTCGTATGATAATTAGAGTGACATATTTAATGTTGTTCTTTGCATCAATTTTATACTCAAACAAGCATTACAAAATATACTTTTTTCTATAATATCAAGAAAACAAGAGAGTAGAAAAAAGAAAACAATGTAATCATATAACTTTAACGGGGAACATCAATTTTGTCCAATACAAAAAATGTCGATGACAAAGTTGTCGATTTCAACTTAATTCCAACTTGGTCTCAAGTTGATTTATCGTCCAGAAATCAACTTGAAATCAAGTTGGAATCGAGTTGGAATCAAGTTGAAATCGACAAATTTGTAATCGACATTCTTTGTATTCGACAAAATTGTAGGCAGTCAACTTTAACGACAACCTAGTTATTTTAATCCTTGAATGTCAAATATTAGCTTGTAGATACCATGGACATTTCTTCATCATCTTTGTCGTAGCATTTCTATCTCCGCCTTTTCCGTTCAACTAGCTATGTTCATCTATCAGTTTGCTATTTTTTTTCTCTTTTTTTCTTCTTGCTTTTAAAATACGCCTAGAAAGCTACCGTTTCGACTGTGACATTAACATCTACATTAAAACAAGAAGAAGTAAGAAATAAATAATTGTATTCTTTTAGTTGTAAGTATATCGTCAAGAAATTCTACCATGGTTTCTATGTCAACTTTAATCAAATGCCTCTTGGTATTTACACGTATGATTTTATAATTACAGAATATAGATTTTTTCTATTGTTTTTCATATGTTTTAGTCTTCATCTTCTGTCAAATTCAATCGGCAACAAGTAAGGGTAACGATTATAAATTGAATGATATTGATATTGGTGATGATCTTTATGAAACATTACCTATTCAACATCATCGTCTTCATCGTCAAGATTTTCGACGAGCTTCATTACGTTATCATCCCAATGTTTTATATAAAAAAGCCAGTCTTCGACCAATTATTGGTCAAAATGGAAAACTTATATTTACCAAACGAGATCGAATTCGACGTTATTTATCACCATTGATCAATGAAGATTAAACAATACATATATATATATATATTTGTTTTGTCTTAAAGTAAAGAAAAAAATATACCACATTATGTTGAAATTGGCACGAATATCGAAATAAAATAATCCTGTAATATTTTCTAATCTCATAAATTCAACTGTTCAACCTTTTTTATTCTAATTTTTATTGGTAGATAGACATATTCTTTCAGTAACAATAAGGGTTGATTCTATAAAAAAAAATCTATATTGATATGGTAAGAGAGTCTTATCGATCTCTATTTTTGTTTTACCTACATTAGGTATACTGAGCAATGATTAGATGTAATAAATAAAACATTGAACAATTTAAAAGAAGAATCTGGTTACATAGAATTCTAAAGGGTAGTTTTACATAACATTTTGAAGGAAAACTCATTGTAATTTTATCGACGCTTTACTTTATTTGTATTATTGTAAAGTTGTAAACATTTCTCAACATTACATAATCGACGAACAGATGAATCTATTTAATTTAATGAAAATTCTTCACGTCTACTAGATTTTAATGGTATATACAATGAAAATTATTTAAGTTCGCCATTAGCACAATAAATGGAATCAACAGAAACCATTGATTACTATATAGAATAACTCAAATATATTAATTAGCAAATATATATTGTCAGAAAGTCATGACATGTTGCCTCTAATTAATATTCAGAATAGTCTTTCTTTTCTCACTCAATCCTATATTTTAACAAATCCCTATCTTCCGTGGTTTACGCCCATTATATGTCATCTTTCGAATCCGAATACAGTGCACAGTATGTGAAATAAAAATCATACGGTGTTCATTTGTTGTTAGTAGAAGTGATAAAAACAAATAACACAAATGACTGTCGATGAATTTGTTGAATAAAACTGAGATAAATCTTCTCAAAGCAAATATAATTAAACATTGTTAAAAATACAAAATATTTGTATTGATGATGTTAATATAAATATTTTCTCTAAATTGAGCGATCTAATCTTGTCTAAAGTTGCCCAGCTATTTGAAACATATCGATAATAATTCAATTCTATTTGATTTAAGTAGTTAAAAAATCTCAATTGAAATACATACATATGCTTAATGAATGTATGCATTAAAAAAAAAATCGTTTTTGAATTAGTTTTAAATAATTTTGATTTTTTTAAAGTTCGAAAACAAATTTGCAATATAATCCTATTGATAGATAACTTCTTATTTAACATTTAAAATTCATCTGTAAATGTGATAAAAATAAATATATAAATGAACTGAATTGACTCTATTGCTACAACTCAGTTCATAGGGTTTTAGATTGATAAGAAAACGACACAAGGATTAACGCTTGTCGTATCGAATCTCGTTATTGATCTTCCGTCGAATCGTAATATTATATTTTGAAACTACAATAATAGATTTAGAAGATATTACACAGATATATGAAATAATAAAACAAAAAGCTAAATCATATTTTTCTGACGTTCAATTGCATTTAACAATCATATACGAAAGTTATAATTAACTGTAACGTGCATAAGTAATCATCATTATTGTCGATAATTATAAACATCATCGTGCATTTTCTATTTACATATATATGTATGTTTTCACAACAGTAGATGCTATTTTATGATTTTTGGCGATATATGTCAATAGTAAATTCTTAAACATCATCGTTTTCAGTGTATGAACAACAATGAATAATTGTTTTTTTTCTCTTCAAATATTCTTTGACATCAAGAATGGATTTATTCTTTTTTGTTTGCTTTTCTTTATTTAAGTTTGTTTTTTAATGTGATATACTCACGATACTAATTATATATATTTGAAAGTAGCTTGTCACGATCATGAAATTGTTTCAATTACTTATTAAATAGTAACTATGAAAGTCTTGATTTATTAGAATAACAGCTATTAAGTTGACATGGCATGAATTCGATTGAATATAACAAATTAACAATTTACTATGATAATTTGATGAACTTTTCAATAAATCTTCAGAAATTGCTTTTATTCAAGAACTTAAATACGATTTATATCTTTCTATTTAGAATACTTTAAAGCAACACTATACTTGTTAATACGACGGTTTTAATTTTTTTTGTTGGAAATGATTGTGTGTTTTTTCTGTATAAAAAGATGCCAGAAATATCTATGAATGCATCGTGTTCTACGAAAAATATTTCATATTAAAGAGATAAAGATAATCCATTGTAATCACCTAAAGTCTAAAATAATGAATATACTGCTTTTAACAATCTCTTGTTTACATACGATTATCAAATTATATCAATTAATAACCAATATTGTTGTCATTGTTTCTAATGAATAATATACGCACTAGCAACTCGGCAAATGTAGATATAATTTGATGCTTACAATATCGGTAAACAATCGAAGACTTGTTTCATCACCATTAAGCCGTCTTCAAAAGGTGCATCTTCGTTCGATCAATTGTAGTCAAAATAAGTCCATAGGACAATAACTTGAGACTGGATTTTTAACAAACAATATGAATTTTTTATTAGACATCCCATTTTTTCGCAAAAATTTTCGATGATTTTTATCACTTTTGGCTAAAAAATATGTTTTTTTTCCAGAGAACATGAGAAATCTGTTTCGTTCGTTTTCTGCTTCTGCTTTTTCGATCGTGTATTCCGGAATTCTAAAAAAAGCTTAATCGTAGTTTATTGCTTTTGTCACTGTTTAAAAGAGCATATGCAGCTGCATCATCTGACAGAGCTCATTTAGTAAATTAAGCATTATTATTATATTGAAATACATTTCTATAAATATATGAGTGTTTTTGAGATATTATTAAACTGTCATTCTGTTTCTTCGCATAAAAATTAAAAAGTCAAAAAAATTGGTCGTATTAGGTACTCCTGTTTAACAAGCTATTTCAAATAAAAGAATTTAATATATCGAATAAGGTAACAGAGATTAATTCGAATCGCCAAATGAGATATTTTCGACCCTTATTGGTTGAGCATCTCCTGAAAACGTCGTAGTATAGAGCTGAAAACTTTAACTTAGCCTTTCTATTAAATTCCCAATATATCTCGAAAATTTCATATGATTTGAATGTGCCAGGTCTCAGATTAATTTTTGCAAAGGAGACAAATTAAATCTTGTGCGACATAGATCATTTATATGAACCACTCGAAAAGTTTCTTCGGCTGACTACCCTAGAATTCATAATTTACGTCTAACTATCTTATTATAGATGCTGAGACGTATTTAGGATTATGTGCTAAGTGTCCGTCGTTTATGTCTTATATGACAGAGTATTTATTCATTTCTTTTCAAATGAGTTACATAGTATCTTCGATATGAATTTGAACTCTCACGCGAATAGTTTTTGTATGATGATTTTACATGTAAGCACTATTTTGACATCGATGGCAAAATCCAACGTAGGATAAAACTAATTTAGCTCACAACATACATATAATCCAAAGATTGATATTGTGCACATTATTCTAAATATATTTTAAGCATTACAACAAAAGAAAAACTGTTCCAGTGCTCCAGGTAAAAGAAAATTTGATGTGTATATACTGTAATTACTATTGAGCGAGACATTGTTGTTTATCTTGTTATGCATAGTTGAATGAAAAAGTATCAGCTTTGTACTTTGCTTAGTGAAAAGATAATTTCAAAGAGAATAATCTTGCGAGAAAAATGTCTGTTGTACATTTGAAGAATAAGTGTTTGAGAAAATCAGGAATCAATGATGGAGTAATATCTAAGAATTTCTGCACTTTTTAAAAATATTTTATAGATATTGACGAGTTTAGTCATATCTGACATTTGCGGCTCGATTCAATTTTTTTTTTCAAGGCCAGTTTTCACAATACTAATGGAATTTTTATTGATAACTAAAGGGTGGTCCAAAAGTTTCGACCCCTCTCAGTAAATCGATGATACCTATAACAAACTTATATGAAGTTATTGATCAAATTATTTCATTTTGTAGAGGAAGATTAGAGCTATCATCTGAAAAGACATAGTTCAAAATACATAAATCTATTACAATCTTTTGGTCATTTTTACTAATCTTGAGTGAAAATTTTTACGCTACATTATTTGAAATAATCAAAACAATGTTTAATGTTTGAGTCGTTAAAGTTAAGCCAAATATTATTTTCTACATGTTTTTAATAGACATTCTTATATAGTTCGATAGAGATCAAAAAGCTTTACAAAAATATGAATATCAAGAAAAATTCGAATCCTGTTTTCAATATAAAACTCAAATGAAACCACGCAAACTAATAAAAATCTTGCATAATTTTCATGAGATAGTATGCTTAAGTCCCGAAGACTTTAGCTGATCGACTGTTAATTGATGTTTCGAGATGCAGGGTTACATACTGAAGCTGAAAATAACTCTTCTGAGCTGCCGGAATAGATGGAACAGTCAACCAGCTAAAACTTTTGAAAGATCAACCTACTCTCTCTAATATTTTATACATGAAATTTTTTTTAGTTTTTCCGATTTCCTTTAAGATTCATATTCAAAATAAGATCAAAAACTTTGTAAACATACATATTCTTGTAGAGCTTATCGAACTCTCTCGAATCATGTAAAAATATCTAGAAAACAATATGTCGCTTAAGATGTTACAAACGTATTTTGTTTATTTCAAAAAAATGTAACGTAAAAATTTTCACTCAAGATTAGTAAAATGACCATAAGATTTTAATAAATTTATATATTTCGAACTATTTTTTTCAGATGATAGCTTTAATCTTCCTCTACAAAATGACATAATTAGATCAATAACTTCATATAAGTTCGTTATAGAGATCATCGATTTACTGATAGGGGTCGAAACTTTTGGACCACCCTTTATTTTCTAATGTTTTAATTGTCATTTTTTGTGAATTTTCTTCGAAAGATTAATTTTTGTCATTCGAAATAACAGAGTTGTGACTTTATGCTATTTCAGTCATAATTATTCGTGAGTATTTACTACTACTACTACTACTACTTATGAAATTTCAAAAATATAT